TGTACAGGGTAAGTTGACTGAATCATTCAGCCCAACATGGCTTGATAACGGCTCCAGTCCATGTTGCTGTCGTGGCAGTTTGAGGATCCTGCTAAAAGCTTTTCTCACTCACGTGAAACACTTGTCACAGTTAAAAAAGCACAGGTGTTATTTATAACATTAACAATGGCTCTGATTTCCTAAAGTGAGCCATGACAGAGTGACAGTGATCCAGCATGCACAAGACCAGGACCCTTAAAAGCTAAACAGAATCCAGTCATCATTAATTTATTATTTACACCTCTGGTTTTGTTACTGTCACAAAGCCTTACATGGAAAAAGTCTATTGGTGTCCCTTATTTGCATCTTTAAGATGGTTGTGTGGCTACAAAGTTGGGCATACTAAGATTAAAACACTACACTAACAATTTACGCTAGGGACATGTGCGACTTAACATTTAAATAGTGCTATTCTTACAAGCTGGCACCGGGAATATGAGCGGTTTAAACTAATTATAAATATTATATTATTGTACAATGCAGGTGAACTGTTGTGAGGAAGACATAAAGCCTGGATGTTGTAAATCAACAAGTTAGAAAGTTCTCACTGTTGAATAATCTGCTGATTTTTTTCCTAATTCACTGAGTAGTTGTTAAGTCTATAAAATATGAGAAAATAGTGAAAAAACATTTATCAGTGTTTCCCAAAGATGACAAATGTCTTCTTTTGTCCACAACCCAGAGATATACTTTGTTTAGTATCACAGAGAAGAAGAAAAAATGGATTAAAAAAAAAAATCAAATTTAAACTAGAAACTTAACTGCCTTTTCTCTTAAAAAGAAAAAATATTCAAACTGATTAATCAAGCATCAAAAATAGTTGCCTATTCATTCAATACTTGACTACTAAACAGTTAATCGCTGCAGCTCCAATGTGTGTCTTTTGCTTAAATATATGCGACTGTTGCTGGCACCTGGCCCAACGGTAGATGTTATTTAATATTCCTTTGCTTTAGAAAATAACCTTGAGGGTTTTCAGCCTTGGATTGCATAGGGAAAGCTTTTCTGATGTGTCACCAGGAATAGTGGACAGCAGGAAGTGACTAAACCATACGTTTTAAAACCACAACTAGAACGGGATATTTGTGGTTGAGTGTCTATAAAGTCAGCTGCAGGGAGGTAAGTTTGGTCCAGTGGATTGATAGTGGCATCCAGTTGTATGACGCAGCTGCAGAGGACGTATAAAGTTATGTCTTCATATTTGGACCATACAAGTGTTTTAGCCACATTGTTCACCACGAAAAACAGACAGTTTTGCAAAATAGTCAAAATTTTGCTGTTTTCACGTGACATTTGAGCTACTGTTAGTGTTGGTACGTTGGCTGTGAATGTTCACAAATATTTCTGGTTCCAAGGTTAAACCAGGCTGTGGATTGGTCCTGAAGTTGTTAATTTAGGGTTTAGTGAAGATGTGTTGAGAGTGCACTTTGAAACTAGTCATTTACTACACGAATGCCACTGCACAGCCTAATGAAGGGGTAGAAGTGTGAGTGTCTAATGTCTTCGTGGAGGCAGGAAGCCCATATGGCAACTTTGCACATTAACTTGAAATAAATACATCATCATCTTGCAGTGCCATCAGCATTTTTGTAGCAGGTGAGATCCTGTGGGAGTCAGCAAAAATGATTTTGTTTCTGTTCCCAGTTGGGTGCAGGTTTTTAAAGGTGAAGTTGTGTTTGCTAACTTCCTCATGCCGTACATATGCAGAGCCTATCCCAGCTGACTCAGGGTGAAGGCAGGGGACACCCTGGACAGGTCGCCAGTCTATCACAGGGCTACACTTAAAGACAGACAACCATGCACACCCATATTCACACCTACGAACAATTTAGAATCACCAATTAACCATAACCTTGTGGGAGGAAGCTGGAGAATCCGGAGAGAACCCACGCTGCACGGGGAGAACATGCAAACTCCATGCACCGGGACGCGAACCGGCAACCTTCTTGCTGCGAGGCAACAGTGCTACCAACTGTGCCACCTTGCAGCCCTTACTTTAAAATGAGTAAACATATTTTGACAAGAGCACCATAGAATTGCTTGTTGTGTTGTTTAAAAAACATTCCTGCTCTCCTTCTCCTCTCTATAATCTGACTGGTGTTAGACCGTAGGCTGACTCTGTCCCTTTTGGTTCCTCGTGTTCTCCATCACGCTATAGTTAATCTTCTGTTGCTAGACCAGGGCCTCTCTTGCGGTCTGCCTGAAACCTCATCTGGTCGCATGGAGAAATCTCTTAATGTTTGACAACTACGTGTGTGCAGCTAAAAGTATGTGTGGACAGAAACTTCCATGATGCAGCGGCAACTGTAGGAATTAAACATGTTGGAGGGATCGAGACTGGCATCAACCTCCTATTGCAGATAGACTGTAGGGGAATCTCACTGCAGATTCATGTGGAGACCTAAAGTTTGCTTTGATTTTAAACCAGATGGTCAGAACAGGTCCTACAATAACAGTGTTCTAAACTTTGACTCACAATTTAAATGAATGGACAATAAAAACTTGTATGTTTGTTGCGCATTAATATTTTTCTTTCTCCACTCTATATGGGTAAAATAGTTTAATAGTGAAACAATATTTACTTTAAAGGGTATATTTAGGGTGCACTGATTTCAATCTGCTAGCAACAGTCATTCCTGATTTCCCTTACAAGTATACTGGTCCCCAAGTAGGAGGTCTTCAAAGTCTGCATTACCACCCATTAGAGCTAAATAGTAAATGGTTTGCACTCTTATATTGCTTTTTAACTTGGCTCGATTCTACAAAGCCGTTTACAATGTGTTTCCCATTCACACACACTCTCACACAAATGTCATGCAAGCTGTTTGCCTGCCATTGGGAGGAACTTGAGGTTCAATGTCTTGCCCAAGGGCACTTCAGAACTTCAGAATGTGGAGGGGCCAACAGACCCACGGTTCAAATCTATCTTTAATTTATCACAAACTATTTTGATAATCAATTAATCAGTTTGAGGAATTTCAAAAAAGTACTACATATAAACTAGTATTGAACAGGCCCTAAAAGACACATTGCTGCCCTCATTAATCATGATTTTCTCCCCTTCTAAGTTTCCACATCATTAGATGGTTTAAATGACATTTAGGTCTGTAAACACAACATTAGAAGTACAATTGACAAACTATAACTTACAGTTAGGTCGACAAAAGGTAATCAACTGGGTGTCACAAACTAAATAAAGCACTGACTTTGGTGATTGATTAACCTAAAAATCTGAAAACAAAGTTTCAATTCTCTGATTCCAACTTCTTCAACATTTTCTGGTTTCATTTCTCCTCTGTCACAGCAAACTGAGTATCTTCGGGTTGTGGACAAAACAAGACATTTGAGGATGTCATCTTGGGCTTTGGGAAACACTGATTAACATTTACACCATTTTCTGCCTTCTATAGACCAAACAACTAGGAGATTACACGATAAAATGATCAACAGATAAATGAGCAATGAAAATAATAGTTAACTACAACCCTATACACATATGTGCATTTTTTGTCTAGTATTCAATTTTGATACAGATATCCAGGGGAATAACTACAGTTACTTTCTTCTGTTATGTCATTGTTCAATATTACTATATTATCATTGTTATAGTTCTTCAGCAGTTACAGACATCATCCTACACAAATGTACTTTCTTTTAACTTCACTTTTAAAAGTGATGACTTTTTTTTTCGGATCTAACCGTTCCTTTTCCAAAATAGAGCTGCAAAGAATAATCTCTTAGGTGTCAACAATCTAATTAATTAAACTATCTTGATCATTAACGACTTGGTTTGAATTTTTTTTTTTTCAAGAAAAAGCTTAAATTGTTTGATTCCTGCATCCTAGATATGAATATTTTCTTTACTCCACCATGACAGTAAACTGAACATTTTTAGTTGTGGAGAAAACAAGGCTTTTCATGACGTTATCGTCCACTTAGGGAAAAATTGATCAACATTTTTTTTACGTTTTTTTACATTTTGTAGACCAACTATCTGTTTTTGGAGAAAATAATCAACAGATTAGCCAAAAAATGAAAATGATTTGCTTGTTGAAGCACTAGTGACAATATATATAACAATGCAAGACGACTGACTAAGACTTCATGGATGATTTTCTAATTGGTAGATTAAATAACGCAGATTTGACATTAAGCTTGGAGACCACACTTTAAATGACAATAAAAACTTTACTCGATATCCATTTAATAGCTTTATCCAGAGCTTTCAGCTACAGCTCACTGTCTCAGCAGGTATGAGTGTTACTAAACTATCCAAAACATCTGAATGTCACCATCAGCTGTTGGTAACTATGGGCTGCTAGAAGAAGTGGGGAAACTGAGCATTACTGTTTTGTAAACCAAGTTAATCTAGCGCTTTTGTAATTGGTTTCTATTCAAAGTTGCAGCCCTAATATACATATATGTCCAGATATTCTGTCTTGAGACACATATCCAGGGTAAAAGCTACAGTTTCATTGTTTACTGTAGACAAATGTACTACTTTCAACAGCGAGGAAGACTTTTCTTCAGATTAAACAGTGCCTTGAAACTTAAAACCTTGCATGACTCTCATGAATCTTAGGACTACTTAATTTCAACTCAGATTCACATTTCTGTGGACTCACCATAGGATTTGTAATCCAAGTTAACAACGTAGTCTATTTATTGCATTTCTGTGTTCTTTATAGGTACTTTGGTACTGATATGATCAAAGTTAATGCTCTTCATTGAATCAAGGAGACCCAAATTATGACTGATCCATTCTGTTTGCTGCACTAATCTCATCATGATAGGTAAGTTGTTATAATGACCTCCAATTTACTTATTAACCAGAGTTGAATGCAGTTTCGTAATTAAAAGTAAAGACGTGAGGGGGCACAGCAACAACTGCATCCCAACACAGACAGACGGACTGATCACAAAGTTTGTAGACAGCTGTCTGTACGTGCAGGCCTCCTTACCCAAAAGCTTCTTCACCTCCTCCACACTCATGTATATGTTGACACTGGGGCTGTTGTTGTTGTTATTGACGCCTGAGGGACTGCTGGGGTTGGCGAGGCAGCCGGCCCCTTCCAGCAGCAGGAGGAAGAAGAAGCCCCCGAGCCTCCACAGCACCGAGTGGGGCCAGCCTCGGGACTGTGTCGGGCTGCCAGAGCCGCGGATCAACTCCACCATGGCAGCGGTCGTCGGGCTCGCTGTTGTTCTCGCCAGTTTCTTTCTCATCCGTATCTCAGGTTAATCCCGGGAGGAAACATTACTGGTTACTTCAGCGTCACTTTTAAGTCCTTTTTTTCTCCACCAGCCTGTTGTTGTGGGTTTTTTTGTTTGTTTGTTTGTTTCCTCCTTTGCTAGCAGAAGCAGGCTAAGTTAGCCGGAGCGGGCTAACTTTGGTCGGATTGTGCTAACCGTCCGCGGTCACACAGCCGTTCACGGTTTGAATGTTCGGATTTACGTTTCCATCCGTATTAAAGACCCTCCGGTTACCGCCGCGTTCAGTCCCTTCGATTTATTCGGGCGAAAACAAAACAAGTTTTTAAAAAGTATCCCAAAGTAGCAAACTAGCTACTACATCCAGCTTTCTCCTTCCATGGTCCGTCCTCCGAGTCTTTTTCCTTCACTCTCTCGGTTTCCAGTCGGGGCAGGGGGGGGCTGCTCCGCTGCAGGAGCACCGCGGTGCCTTCAGGTGCCGTCGGAAATGTCTCCACTACAGGAGGATCCCATACGGTGGTGCCTTCAGACGACTAATGCTGTGAATTGGCGCGATATAAATGAACCTAACCTAAAATGAATACTGAAGTCTACCTTAAAATGCAGCTGCAGCTTGTAGAGTCCTGTTAAGGTGGTACAGAGTAAAGAAAGCTAAAAGAACTAACTGAGATAACAGGCATTAAACCAAAAAAGTGGTTCTTTGCCCTCTAAAAAGTTATCCAGGGTTGTTATTGAAATACTGATTCATATATATGATTGTCTAAATAAGTGATACAATACAAAAAAATACCCCCTTACAATAATATATCGGAGACAAAATGAAGAATAATTAAATAGAATAAAAACTCCATTTCAAACACAAAATGTCCTATTTGTCACATACACAGCTGTACAAGAGTCAAGAATAATTTTATTGTCATTCCGGCTGCACATCAAAAGATGCAAAGCAGAACAAAATTTTAAACCATCTAAATTGCAATTTAGAAAACATTGCAAAACAGGTAAGAAAAAAACTGAACTGTGTGAGTAAAAATGATTAAAATAGAATAAATAACTTACACCACAAGTACTGCACATAAAATCCATGAAACATTGCACAGCACAGAACTGCTCAGGTCAGAGGCTGTAGGGGGAATGAGTCTCAGAGTGCCCACATAGTCAGCAGTGGTGCATCATTTTATTTATCAGTGTGATGGCAGTTGGCTAGTCAGACAGTTCTGCTACGCAGATTATGGTATCTATTTCCAAAGGGCAGGAGGGCAAACGGCTGAGGACAGGGGTGGAGATGTTGGTAGCTTTGGACAGGCAGCATTTATCGGCCAATTCCTCCATAGGTAGCAGTGTGCCTCCAGTAGTTCTCTCAGCTGATCTCACCACTCTCCTCAAGGCCTTTTGATCTGAGGTGTTGCAGTTTTCATACCAGACAGAGACGCTGCTGGTCAAAACACTCTCTATGGTGCCTCTATTGAAAGTGGTGAGGACTGGTGGACTGAGATGTTCCCTCTTCATCCACCGTGAGAAATGTAGGCACTGGTGGGCCCTTCTATTAAGAGAGTAGGTCTGCAGGGACCACGTTAGGTTGACTGCTACACAAACCCCTTGGAACTATGTGATCTTAACAAACTCCACAGCAGTGCAGTTGATGTGGATTGGGGTGTGCACTGGCTGATTTCTCCTGAAGTCAATCACCCTCAACAATTTTATTTTTTTACAACATTAAGGATCAGATTTTTTTGACTGCACCAGTCTGCAAAAAGTTTCACCACCTGTCTATGTGCCTTATGAGACCCACCACTGTTTTGTCTTCTGCATACTTTATGATGCGGTTTGTATTAAACTTTGCACAACAGTTGTGTGTCATCAAGGGGCTCAGGACACATCCTTGTGGAGAACCAGTGCTCAGTGAAACAGTGGTTGATGTGTTATTTCCTACTCGTATTAACTGAAGCCTGTCTGTGAGAAAATCCAAGCAGAGCGCTTAGGCCCAGTGTGTCAATCAGATACTGGGGGATTATTGTGGTAAATCCATCCATCCATTTTCTATACACCGCTTAATCCTCATTAGGGTCGCGGGGGGGCTGGAGCCTATCCCAGCCGACTTAGGGCGAAGGCAGGGGACACCCTGGACAGGTCGCCAGTCCATCGCAGGGCCACACCTAGAGACAGACAACCAAGCACACTCACATTCACACCTACGGACAATTTAGAATCACCAATTAACCTCAACATGTTTTTGGACTGTGTGTGTGGGAGGAAGCCGGAGAACCCGGAGAGAACCCACGCTGCACAGGGAGAACATGCAAACTCCACGCAGAAAGATTCCGGGTGTCCCCACCGGGACGTGAACCGGCAACCTTCTTGCTGCGAGGCAACAGTGCTACCAACTGCGCCACCTTGCAGCCCTATTGTGGTAAATGCCAAACTAAATTCAACAAACACCGCGATACAAGTAAAAATAGCTACAAACAGGTAGCTGAAGGGTTTATTGGTGTAGTGATACCTTCTAAGTAGGTGAGCAAAAACATGGCTATGCTAGCTCTTCTTGGTATAGTTCCAGTAAGATTACATATTTACGATAAATTATATTTGATCATATGGAGAAATTTGATTTCTTTAAACGCAGCATGTATTTTGTGTTCCAGAGAAATTTTGTCACTGGTGCCCCCTTCACACTTCATTTCAGATTTCTGCAGCTCTCGACTGGAACCAGTTACAAAAAACACTCAAACTCAGCTTTTTCATACCTTTATCATCTTTTAAAAATATAGTGAAGCCACTACTTACTGAGTCCTGTACCTGCTTTTAGTGTATTTTATCTTCAAACCTTTCATTGTTATACTTTGTTTGTGTATCTTTTTTATGGCTGTATTCTTTTTATTCTATTCTCTGTTCTGTGCTGCCTCTTGGCCAGGTCGTTATTGTAAATGAGAATTTGTTCTCAATTAACCCACCTGGTTAAATAAAGGAAAATGAAATCCTGAGGCGTTCCCAGGCTAGCTGAGAAATATAATCCCTCCAGCGGGTTCTGGGTCTTCCCTAGGGTCTCCTCCCAGGTGGACATGTTCAGACAACCTCCAGAGGAAGGCTCCCTGGAGGCATCCAAATCAGATATCCAAAACACCTCAAACTCACTCCTTTCGACGCGAAGGAGCAGCGGCTCTACTCCGAGCTCCCTCCGGATGTCCGAGCTTCTCACCCTATCTATAAGGCTGAGCCCAATCACCCTGGAGGAAGCTCATTTTGGCCACTTGTATCCGCGATCTTGTTCTTTGGGTCACGACCCAGAGCTTGTGACCATAGGCGAGGGTTGGAACGTAGATGTACTGATAAATCGAGAGCCTCGCCTTGTTACTCAGCACCCTCTTCACCACAACGGTCCAGTACAGTGCCCGCATTACTGCTGACACTGCACCAAGCTGCCTGTCCACCTTGCGTTCCATTTTCCCATCTCTCGTGAACAAGATGCCAAGATACTCCCTCGCTTGGGGAAGCAACTCTCCAGTCCCCCTTTTTGAAAATGGGAACTACCACCTCGGTCTGCCACTCCAGAGACCCCGTACCTGATACCCACATGACCCTAAAGAGACGTGTCAGCCATGACAGTCCAACAATGTCCAGAGCCTTAAGTATCCTGGGGCGAATCTTGTCCACACCTGGCACCTTGCCACCGAGGAGCTTCTTAGCTACCTCGGCAACCTCTGCCACGGATATGGACCCAGAAAGCCCCAAGTATTCAGGCTCTGCCATCTCGGCCAACTGGTACCTCTCTGCTGTATCAGGAGACCCCCGAGCCAACCAGGCCTGAAAAGTCTCCTTCTTCAGCCTGACAGCTTTGGTGTTGCTGCCACGACAGGCACCAGTGACCTTCTGGCCACAGCTCTTAATGGCCGCTTCTGCAATGGACGCTTTGAACACGGCCCACTCCGACTCACTGTCCCCAACCTCCCCCGAGATGCAGGAGAAACTCTTCCAGAGGTGGGAATTGAAAACCTCATGGACAGGGGCCTCCGCCAGACGTTCCCAGTTCACCCTCACTACATGTTTGGGTTTCCCAGGTCTGTCCAGCAGCCTTCCCCACCATCAGATCCAACTCACCACCAGGTGGTGATCAGTTGACAGCTCTGCTCCTCTCTTCACCTGAGTGTCCAAAACATTCAGCTGCAGGTATGAGGATACAACTACGAAGTCGATCATCGACCTTTGGCCTAAGGTACTCTGCTACCAGGTACACTTATGAGCAACCTTATGTTTGAACATGGTGTTCATTATGGCCAGTCTATGACTAGCTAGAAGTCTAATAATGAAACACCGCTCGGGTTCAGATTGGGCGGGCCGTTCCTCACAGTCACACTCCTCCAGGTTTCATTGCCCATGTGAGCATTTAAGTCCCCCAGGAGAACTATGGAGTCCCCAGGCACCCTTTCCAGGACACTGCCCAGAGACTCCAAGAAGGCCGGACAGTCTTAACGGCCATTCGGTGCATAGGCACAAACGATAGTCAGCATTTTCCCCTCTGCAACACGCAGAGAGGCGACTCTCTCGTTCTCCGGGGAAAACTCCAACAAGGCGGCTCTCAGCCGGGGGCTTGTGAGTATCCCCACACCCGCGTGGCGCCTCTCACCCTGGGCAACTCCGGAAAAGGAGAGTCCAACCCCTCTGCAAGAGTTTGGTTCCGGAGCCCTTGCTATGCGTGGAGGTGAGCCAGACTATATCTAGCCGGCAACACTCCACCTCCTGCACCAGCTCAGGCTCCTTCCCCGCCAGTGAGGTGACGTTCCACATCGAGCTCCAAGTCCTCCCAGGGGATGGTACGCCCTGACGCATGGATGAGCATACTGGTCCACCAGCAGCATGTTCTGCAGGAGGTCCAGGAAGCTGAACAGCTCCTCCTGTTCTGCACTGGTGCGACATGCTGCCTGATGCACTTGCTTCCACCAAGGACTCGAGAAACACAGAGGCCTGCACTCTCTGAATTGGTGCCTACTTGATAGATAGATAGATAGATAGATAGATAGATAGATAGATAGATAGATAGATAGATAGATAGATAGATAGATACCTGCAGTCTCCACGTCTTCTTATAAACAAATCATAAAGCAATATTTGAAGACAACAAATTATTTAGGAAAATTCTTAAAATATCAATCTTAAATTTTACAGATACAAATGTCCAGAATTTATAACTCATAATACAAATGTAACTAAAGTACATTACTTGAGTGAATGTACTGTATTGGGAAAACTTCATATGTGTGTTTGAGAGGGACAGAAGTAAAAACACATGATTCACTTTAAATTGTCAGAGGTAATCCCTGTTTAAATTAATTTATGATTCAAATCAATGCCTAATTAATTATTTATTTTATCAATTATTTATTTTGACCGAATAATCTGAGTATGTAAGACTTTGTTTTCCAGATTCACTCAGATAAGATGGACAGCCTGAGAGCTCTACTCTATCTGATTTACATTTTAAAGATTCAAAAATGATGCCCTGTTATATTTTTTCTGAAATTGCAAAATTCACTGTTTGTTTCAATAAGAAAAATGCAACATTATTTTTAATTTAAAAGATCCAAACCTTTCTTTCCCCAACAATATGCATTTGAGGTTTGTTTGCAACCATAATGCAAGAGTTTTCAGTACTTCACTGTTTAAAATTTTCAGCTTACCTGACATGTTTCTTGATTTTGTTTGAAACTCAAAATTCAAAGCAATTGTAAAAAGGCGTTGAAAACGGCAACAGAAAGATGTCTGTAGCGTCGTTTTAGGTGAAGGGATCTGAAGGACTGAAGTATTTTGAGGACTCTCAGTGATTCTAGAACATCACTGTGTTTTACATCATTGTTACCCACAATGTTTTTATTAAATTCCTCCATGGTTCACTTACATGGAGAAAATATTATGGATATAATGTGATGGTAATAACAGTTACAGACACAGATAGTACAAACATGAATCCCCCCAACATTTAGGCAGAAAACCAGCTGTGAAAGAAATACTCAGATATTTTACTCTAGACAAAGTACCAATAACTCAGTGTAGAACTAGATATGTATTGAAATGTATACTTCATTAAAAGTACAAAAGTATCATGACCATAAATACTTTGAGAACCATAGTAAGGGTTCTCATTAAACTGAGTGGCATCTATTTTAGAAAAATGCATATTACTGAATTATAATTAGTGAAGTATTAACGTCACTTTAATATTGGAGTTGCTAAAGTTGATTTAACTACTTTATATAGTTTATCCGCTGAGTAGCTTGTGAATTTTCTAATATTACATCATTTGATCTGGCTCTGAAGGAGAACAATGAAGCAGAAAGTCCCACCCTGCAAGCTGACAGGATTAGTTCTTTAGGTTTGTTACATATGAAATTTTGGAAAGGTGAATTTGTGTTTCAAGAGTGTCAATACTACACTGCAGTTTCAAGGTGGAAATGCTCAGCCATGGTGTTGGCTGTTTATTTTGGTTAATATGTGTCTTCTAGCATCATAAAAACACTGTATATACATGTTAACATGAATTTTAAAAAAAGTGTTTTGTTTTTTTTTAAACTAGAGGACATCTTTACAGTTATCATTTGAGTCAATAATGTTCAGTTTTCTGTCTTTGCCCTCCACTGTGTGCTTCAATTACCCAATAATCAAGTGTAAAGTCAGCACACATTGTAGTGTATGAAGTAATTTACACCTCACATGTCAAGAAAATGACTGCTTCTAAATAATAACTGTTTGAAAATCTAGGTATTGCTTGCCACCTGTTGTTAAAATGCTGATTTTTCCACCCTCAGGCCAACTGGATAACTGACAACAGTTTCTGAAGGAACTAATGATATATTCAATATAACGCATCAAATGATGGCAAGAAGTGTCATACGAACAAACCGACAGCAGAAAACCACAACATTTTAACATTTTTATTATTAAAATATTCACCTACAAAATGGCCTATAAACACTATTTACAGAGTAGCGAGCAGCGACGCCAGCTAAGACACAGAGAAAATGATATTTCACACAGAAAACACTGTGTCAGAGGAAAAGATGAATTTGTGGGCGTGTAGTGAAAATGTACATTTCCCATTGTCTTTGTGAGGTGATCGTGGGGCCGGCGTTAGGAAATGATCGAAACACTCTACGGTTATTTCCCTGAGGGACAAACCTGCAGCTGAGTCACAAATGCAAACCTCTCCTGATGTGTCAGTGGGGACGTGGACATTAGGTACATAAGGTCTGTGATGCAGCGCAGTCGACTGCTAATTGTGTATTTGCATAATGTATGTGTTTGAGTGAAAGATCAGTCATCAAATATTGAAAACGATAAATGATGTGGGGCCATTTTTTTATCTGATTGATTGTGCTTTCGTGCAGCTCTCAGGATGAAGCCTCATTTTTCAGATGGATGAAATGTTACAGTGGGCTCTGACAGGCACAAGAAAATGACCAGAATCAGTTACTTCAAGTAGACTATAAACACCAAAATTGAAGTTAGGAGGTTTTTCACATGACAGTGATGGGGGTCCTTTCTTCAGTACCCAAGTGCTCTAGAAGAAAGAAAAAAAGAAACAGTTTGTTTCCAGGACAAAAGTCAAAATGTTTGTTATATACTGCAGATCATAGACACTTAAGGCCTACATTAATTATACTTGTGCCAAATTTTAATTTATAGTGAATTCTTGTTTGACCAATAAGTTTCTTCTGGTTGGAAATGACACAAACAAGCGACCAAACACAGAAAGACATTGTGTTGGAAATGATACAGCAATTTAAACAGTTCTGATCAATTCTAACAAGCTTTCTGCGTTTCTCCACTGGGAATTTGGATTTCTTAGAAGTTGGATGCTGCGCTCACCAATGTCCATATTGTTTTCTGTTCACCATTTCTTGACCTCTATATGTTTCAGATCACTGTCTTGTTGGAATGTCCCATTCTGCACAAGGCTAAGTGTTTCTGCAGACTGATGATTTCCTCCTGAATCTGATTGTCCTCTTCTCTTATGATGCCCTTTGCTTTGACAAGGTTACCCGACCCATCAGCTGGAAAACCCCTCCAAACCATTACTTTCACAACAACATGCTGGATCGAAAGGTTGGTGTTTTTGGGGTTCAATGGCTCTTGTTTCTTTCACTAAACTAAAGTCATGTCCCTTTGTCCAAATGATGTCATTTTTAATCTGATCTGACTACAGAACTGATGACCAACAGTTTTCTTCTTCGCCCAAGTGAGCTTTTGCAAAGGCTGGATGAGGAATGTGGAGTTCTTGGTCTGCATCCACAGAGACCAGCCTCATTTAGTCTCTACTAAAGTGTCTGGTGGTATCAGAACTGCTTGAATTCATCTGGGTGGTCTTAATAATGATTCTTGGATTTTTCTTGGCCTCTACCGTTCTCCTGTGTAGGGGGTCACTTTCCCCTTCCTACCATGTCCTATGAGATTCGTCACAGTGTGGAACTCCTTGTACATTTAATGACGCTTTGCCACTGATGTTAAAAAAAACCCCTTAGAAATGGCTTTTTATTCTGTCCCCGTCTTAGGAGCCTCCACAATACATAAATGATGGATCCTGATATCAACCTCACTAAGTTCTTTGGTTTTAATCAAGAGTTGTATTTTATTAGTAACTGAACTACTGCATCCGCTGTTCTTAGCTTACAGTGCATTAAAATGCTTTAGAACATTGTAGAAATGACCAGGACCATTTGGAGGGATATACACACTGCCTTTTCTAAAATACTGGTAACAATTTCAAGGGCATTTTTAGCAAAAATCTTTTTTTTTTTTTTTTTTAAAACACAAAAAACCAACAACATAAAAACAGTTAAAATCTATCATTAACATTCCTGAAGCAATGTCTTGATATGTTTTGTTACTTGTTTATGTAATTTTACTCCAGAATAAACCTATTGGCTAAATAGAAAACATCACAATAAATCAAAGTTCAGCATGCGTGTGAACAATTTAGATTTACCTTTGTTGGATTAAATTAAAAATTTCAACACAAAAAAATATGATTATGTTTATTTTTGCTAAAGAAAACAAACCTTTATTGCTGTCTGCTTGTTCTTCTGTCTGTTGAGAGAGTTAACATCACTGTGTGAGTAGAACTGCATTGGCATATTCAATTATAAGAACGTAATTAGTGTGCAGACAAATTGTTGAACTCACTCTGACTTTTCTTGGAAAGCGTCGGCTCACAAATCTCTCGATAACACACATCCTGCTGTACTTTATAGGTCCGTTTGTACCTGCAGAGAAGAAAATGCGTTCTTTCATTTGATCCATTAGGTTGCACGTAACTATAAACATCACATTAATTGTAATTAGTATAAGCATGCGAGGCCAGAGCTGGAGATCTGAGCCTGACTTACAGGTAGTGGCAAACTCCACCCTCCCAGACTGGCACACTCTTGGTTTCAGAGTAGAGACGGGTGCACGGGTGCGGCACTCGCTGGCACACTGCAAACAGCAGAAATACAACATGGGGTATGGGTGTTGTAAGGATTGTCAGTGAAGGAAAGTCTGCTGGATGGTTTAGGAGTCATGTGGGATGTAGCTGGGGCCTGCTCTCTGGCTGATGGATGGTTTTAGGAAAGGAATGTTTAAACAATCTGACGCTGGATGTTTGGGTGAAGAACAAGATTCAAGAGGGGTGAGGGAACGCCGAGTGTCTCCTCGTACGGAACTTCATCAACATACATTTATTAGTGAAGGAAAACTCATATTTCCACTCTGTGTTTGGAGGAGGAAGTTCAGGCTGGATGTGATAAAATGTTTTCCTAGTTGGAGTGATGCAGCTGTGTAGCTTTCAGTGTTGGGAGGTAACGCATTAGTGTTCCTTAATCCAGTAATCACATTACAGTTACAGTCAGTTACAGTTACTACTTACTTTTCTGCCAGGGCCACCTTTAATCTCCTAGACATGCAACTAAGCCTTGTTCCCCCAGCAATTTTCTGTAAAATGCTCTTTGAGCTGGTTTTCACCAATGTGCTGTTCACTATGTAGTAATACTTCACTGAAGAGTGTATAAGTGGTGATGTGTGCTGATTTGTGAACATATGTTTGGTGAAACATCGTATTATTAACTCTAAACAGTGTGAATGCGTCTTAGGCGGTTCTGTGTAACACCAAAGTAATGTAATGATTAGCAAGACAAATTATTTTCTATTGGTAGTAAATAAGTGTGTGTGTATATATATATTGATATGTTTTAGGCGGTTTCCCACATTTCTGTGAAAACCATATTTACAGAGCTGTTTCTAAAAACACATATTTTAAAGGTACTTTTCATCTCTTCCTATAGTTTTAATGCTTAGATTTCATACAAATTAAATGAAAAACCAACATTAAGTGTCTCAGTGTGGCACTTGGACACCACGTGCTGCCAGATCAGCTTCCCTGCTCCTTGGTATTCATTCTCCAAGTGTCTGAACTCTGCTGGTGTTTTGATGATGGAGGTGAAGAGAACACCAGAATCTCTCATAGGTTTGAGATCTGGTGACTGTGAAGGCCAAACCATGTAATCGATACAATTTTCATACACATAAAACTATTCAGCGCCCAGTGAAAACACTGTCATCCTGGAAGAGACCACTTCCATCAGGATAGAAATGGTTCATCACAGGATAAAATGATCATTCAGAACAACTTTGTGTTGATTTGTAGTGACCTTTTTTTTTTCTAAAGGAACAAGTGGACTAAACCGAGCAGCAAAATACCTCCTACAGTACAACAGAGCCACCGGATCTCCTCATTTGTTTCCAGTCTGTATGTAAAATTCTTTCCAGACGGGTGTTGTGACTTCTCTTATTATAACTACTATACTGTGAGTCATAGTTTTAAAAACAATACAATCCCAGACATCCCACCGATTTATATCACAGCCAAACTATACAACACACCTAAAAGAGATCAGCTGTCAGCCTGTTATGATGATGCACAAACACTAATCAGGTTCAAAGCACACAATACAACTTCTCTAATCGCTCTGATTATTTTCTTTGGCCCTATAGTTTTTCATCACATGACTGTACTGGTAACGTTATAAAACATCTGGATGCCTTCTGGATTAAACCACTTGCTGCAACAGATACAATGCCACCAGGCCTTCAGTGAGACTGATGGAAGTTGTTAAAAACTCTCGTCAGGTTGCTTTTACAGGACGTTCTAGACACCTTGCTGACTTCTGAATTGAGAAAAAGTCACACAAGCAGTTTAATGCTTTCTATAGAGGAGAGGAGAAATTACATTTAAGTCATGCTTCTACAGTCAGGCTGTGTATGATGTTATAGGATTGCATATATTAACATGTTTTCATGTCTATTAACTTCAGTACGGCTTTGGACAGTGCCGATAATACATTCCTACTGGCTGTACGACTCATTAATTCAGTATTAATGGCCAAGAGATTTTTCCTCCAGGCAGCTGGCAAACTCACATCTACATCCTGTCATGGATACACTTGCAAACTGGTGGTCTGAGCTGCAACTGCACGGTATGTCTTAGAAATAAATGAGGGAACAACCAGTGATTCACATATTCTGGAATTTGGACTGTCGACAGATTTGATCTTGCTGGAGAAATAAGGCCTTTCTCTAAATTGAATCCCACTATCTTCATTAGGAATATTTAAATTTGTGGTGAATATTATTAGGCACAAACTCTGACTTTGCTCCTCTTAATGTTTTTCAAGTGGAAAAACTTAATGCCAACAAAACCAAGCAAGCCTTTAACAACTGGGCTGACAAGTTTCCTATCTGACACTGGAAATATAAAAATGAAAACAAAGAAGCATATTGTGTGTAGATGATATACTGCTGCCTCACACAGAATCTTCCCCACAGCAAATTCTGAAGAAACACTGGGTTATAAATGTAACACTAACTCACAGTAAAATGGGAGGAAAGTGGTGCAGTGTAAATAATATGGTCCTTTGTGAATTCAGAGACAGCGTGTTCATGTTGTGCAATTATGCCCTCGAGCCCTAAAATTAACCAAGTCAATCATAAATGTCAGAGGGGTCAACTGACAGTGGAGCGTATTTCCTGCTCCAGAGGTCTAAACATAGCGAGATCCTCTCACTGTGACAGTTTACATGATAGCATGCAAATATATAGTATACCGTTAGCTCACACCTGTAGTTAAACTGATGGAAAGAAGTAATACACACTATGAATTTTGCACTGACACACATGACAGCTAAAATGAAATTAAATAATCCATCAGTTTTTCCGGAGGATTTATCCTGCTCAGGGTGACAGATGTTTTACACCGATCCCAGCATGTATTTACTTGGAGTTTACAGTTCAGCTTTCTGACATTAATTTGGGCAGTGGGAGGAAAGCCTCTCCAATCCACCCAGAATACACATTCATGTTCACCAGAGGATGAACCCTCACGAATCATAGAATTTTCCTCTCCACCAGCAGGTCAAACTTTTTTCACTTCGTCACTCAAATATCAACATGTCTTAAATGGATTGCAACCTCTGACTGTATATAGAGATGTGTAGATTCTCAGTCATCCAGGTCATGTCAATGATAGGAGCTTCAGCAGAAATCAACTGGACTTCTTTTGTAGGATAAGAGGTTTTACCTCTCATTCAAGAGGGTTCTTCAGTTCTAACTCACTAATGGGGAATTACAGAATTTACAGTCACTCCATTGACTGTAAATTCTGTCTGTGAAATGTCTTCAAGAACCTACAAGAAAAGTCCAGCTTTTTTCTCCTGAAGCTCCTGCGATGAAACTGCTCAAAAAAATAAAGGGAACACCTAAACAACACAATGTAACTCCAAGTCAATTACACTTCTGTGACATCAACCTGTCCAGTTAGAAAGTAATACTGATGGTCAATCAACTTCACCTGCTGTTGTGCAAATGAAACAGACAAGAAGTGGAAATGAGAGGCAATTAGCAAGACAACCCCTATAAAGGAGTGGTTCTGCAGGTGGTTACCACAGACCATGTCTCTGTTCTTATCCTTTCTGGTTAATGTTTTGGTCATTTTTGCATTTTGTCAGTGCTCTCAGCCCTAGAGATAGCATGAGGCGGTGTCTCCAACCCACAAAGGTAGCTCAGGTAGTGCAGCTCATCCAGGATGGCACATCAATGCAAGCTGTGGCAAGAAGGTTTGCTGTATCTCTCAGCACAGTGTCAAGAGCCAGGGTTAGCAACCCACGGCTCCGGAGCCACATGTGGCTCTTTCATACCTCTGTTGCGGCTCCTTGTGGCTTTGGAAAATAAATAATGAGTATTTTAATTTAAATGTATTTTATTTTAGCTCGTTAGTTTTTAAAATATAATTCTAAATATGAAGATTTTTGTGAACTTATAACATTAAAATAAAACATGTTTAATTTTTTGTCACTCAAAATATGCGTCACACTCGCCAATGTGCAACATCCGCTGGCCCGCACAGTGTTGCCAACTTGGTGACTTTCTCGCTAAGTCTGGCAACTTTCCAAATCCTCTTGGCGACTTTTTTTGTCAAAAGTGACTAGTGACAAATCTAGTGACTCTTTCTGGTGTTATTGGAGACTTTTCTGGTGTTTTGGAGACTCTGACGTGAAAACACGTATTGGTCTGCAGTTACTGTCCTCAGCGAGCAGCGGTGCTGCCGTGAGCTCCTCCCGTCGCAAAACGCTCACAGGCGGTCAGGAGTCTTGTCAGCAGTCCCAGCTGGACAACCAGACGGCATTTTTACTTTGCTGCAGGTGGATAATTAGGGCCCAAGCACTACATTGTGTAGGACCCTCTTGAAACTGAAGGAAATAGTCTTTCTTATTATTAGGGTCCGAGCACACCAGTGCAAGGACCCTATTGTAACCGTTAGGTTTCTTCTTATTATTTGATGCAATTTAGAAACTCAAATTATAGGGTCTAAAGACTCACAAAAACTCAACAAAATCAGCACACACATCACGACTGTCAAAAAATTTGATATTTTAAGGGAGTTGGACATGTCAATGCCAAAATGGCTCCACAGTCCCATTGGAAGCATGTTTGACTCAGACCTACGCAATTTGGTAGGTATATGGAGGAGGTTAGGACAAACAAAAAAGTCAGTGACAGCCGTACTCTAAACCCGACAGGAAGTCCGCCATTTTGGATTGTTCGTTTGTCCAACCTGAGCTAACTCCTCCTAAGGGGTAAGTCACAGAGTGCTGAAATTTGGGTAGCACGTAGAATACGCCTTGAAGGCAAAATGTTATCAAAATCATCTGCAAAGGTCAAAGGGCATGGCCACGGCGGCCCTCTGATTTTTAAACCTTCGCCATAAAAGAGGAAGTACTGTGTCACCACCCTGTACATGCTCCATTCTGCCTCAAACTTTACATATTTGATCCGACTGTTGTCCTGATCACATCCATATGCCCAAATCCATTCACAGTCATAGCACCACCTATTGGCAAAAGGCTGTTTAAGGCATTATACTTCCATGTGCCATTGCTTCAAACTTTGCGATATCATTCTTAAAATTAGTCAGCTAAGTCTTCCGACATTGATGATGCTACAGTGTGAAGCGTTCTCATTTTCAAGCAACGGTGTTGCCATGGCAACGCATAGTTGCTATGACACGGAAAGGACTTTTTGACAGCGTTGGAATGCTCATGAACTCACCAAAATTGACATACAAGTCACTATCCGCTCAACCATTGACAATGTGTGCCTGTTTAGCAAAATGGCTCTATAGCACCCCCTGCAGCAATTTATCCATTAGCCCCCGCAAGACGTTTAACCGACGTTTACAAAATTTGGTAGGCATATGTAACACATCAGGACACACAAAAAAGCCTCTTGGACCCATACCGTAAACTCAACAGGAACTCCGCTATTTATAAAACTGTGCAGTTTTTTGTCATATTCAAGAGTGAACTCCTCCTAGGGGTTAACTCCTACACGCCTCAAATTTGCCCAGCGCATACAACAGGGCTTGGTGATTAAAAGTTATCAAAACTCTCCGCCAAAGTCTGAGGGCGTGGCTGTGGCGGCCCTCTAAATTATGACAATTCGCCATCAAAAAGGAAGCATGTCTAACAACCCTGTACATGCTCCAATCTGCCTCAAACTTTACATACTTGACAACAGTCCTGCCCTGGTGAAACCCATATGCCAATATCCATTCACAGTCATAGCACCACCTGCTGGCAACAGAAAAGCATTTGTTTTACACTCTCATACACATTTGTAACATCTACTACGGCCAGCAGGTTTCACTTACATCCATGAAATTTAGTGGACATATGAAGCACATCCAGATGAACAAAAAAGCCTGGGGGTGCCATTCACCTAAACCCAACGGGAAGTCTGCCATTTTGGATTTTTTGTTTCTCCACCCTCAAACACTCCTCCTAGGGGGTAAACCACAGAGCGCTGAATTTCAGGTAGCATGTAGAGTACTATTTGAAGGTAAAAATTTCTCAAAAGCTCTGTATTTTGTTGAAGGGTGTGGCCGTGACAGCCCTCTGATTTTTGATCCTTCGCCATCACAAAGGAAGCCTAATGACCCTGTACATGCTCCAATCTGCCTCAAACTTCTCATACTTGATCACAGTCCTGTCCTGATGAAACCCATATGCCAATATCCATTCACAGTCATAGCGTCACCTGCAGGCCATAGGAAAGAACAAGTCTTACAAGTTCATGTGCTATTATTAGCCAGTCTGAACTGCTCTGGCTGCAGCTTACTCCTGCACTACTGAGAAGACACACTGAGGACTGAGGATTGAATGGAGTCAGAGCTCCATCTAGTGGACAAACAGTGCAACAACAGCATTCTGCACAACTGTGACAGTTAACAGCATTTACTGTTTTTTTAAGAAAAGGGCTACGGTTAGGTGATTGTCACATTGACTGCAGCACATTTCTGCCACAACCCGGCGTGCGCCATGCCCGACACGCGTGGAAGTGTGAAGGCCCGTCCAATGCTGCTTGCAGCTTTAATTTAAGATCGTTTTTTTATTTCATAAATACAAGGAGGACTCAAATAGACGTTGAGTATTTAAGACTATAATCACATGTAGATTTTAAACTTCTTGTTTAAATGTCCTTAAACAACAACATGATGACCAACTCTCAAGTGGATTTGCCAGAAAGTAACCTACATTCACTGAACCCACTCTGTATTGAGAAGAAGAACATACACTTACACAGTTCACACTTTCTGCCCTTGAAACCTGTTGCACAGTCGCAGATGAAGGAGTCGCCTCCATCCACACATGTTCCTCCATTCTGACAGGGAACACTGCGGCAGTCCTGAGGCAACTCTGAAAGACAACAGCTGCCATTAACATCCTCAGTACAGAGTCAGTCTGGGTCTCAGGTTTCAGGCACACTATTACACATTATCCACAGCTGATACCATGTGTTGATAGCCTTTGGCTCTACCCCAACACAACAGAACATGAATCTGACTTGTAAGTGGCGCATCAGCTGGGATCAGTTACTTGGACAGATGTGCCATCTTTTGGAAAAGAAGAGCAGAACACCTACCAGGCTTTGTTTTTAAACCTTCTTCTTGAATCTCCAGTGCAAGGCTGATTTTGTTTGTTGTTTCCTCCATCTTTTCTAATCTAATTGGTGGGTTGGGTTCTGCAAGGCAAAACATTTCCTGTCATGAATCAGCGTGAAAAGAAAAACTCTGGTAAAAATGTATATGCTTCATTCCTTGAGATGCTTAAAAGGTTTATCAGCAGGTTTTGCACATCAGTCTGAAACAATGAAATACTTGAAACACCAACAAGCATTAATAATCATTATTAAAAGGGGAAAAGTAATTTTCGAAAAGAAACTTATACTCGTGAGCATAAGATAACATCTATGGAACTGTTTTTATATTTGGCAAACAGATTTGAAGCTTCAGCACTGGAATAAGGTAAGTAAAACAGTCTGACACTGTTTGCTAAAAGTCATCATTCTCTAGTTGTCTTCCTTTAAACAAAGCTGCGAGAAAAAGTAAATAAACAACTTAGTCAGATAAAATGAGTTTTACATTGTTGATAGCGATGTTGGAAAGGACAAGACTGCTACTCAACAACAACATCAAGATTACAGAAAAACAGAGCTGTTTGTCCTCTTTAAGTTTAACCAATCAGTGCTGAGCCTCACACTACAGTTTTTTTTTTTTAATGGGTTTTTTGTCCTCCGAAATTGACCCTGAAAGAGATTTTACAGGGTCAGCCATCCTCAGTGGTGGAGCCACACAAAGGCAAACACTGGGGTGAAGCAATATCTTGTAGTTTTATATTTTTCCAGCAACTCACTGCAGTCTAAATAGTATTTTTTAGTCATTTATTCTTGTACTTTGCTTATACAGGCAAGACTGTAATGCAGAGGTATATGGGATCCAAAGTAAGTATAATATGCTTCTTTATTTAACCACTTTATTTATCAGTTGGTTAAAAAATCTGGCTCACAAGATAATTAAATTTAAAGTGTATAAAACGAAGTACACATAATACACTTATGTCAGAAATGTCCTTGTTTTGCTGAAGACATCCACCCTAGTTAAGACATCACAGTCCATCCAGCCCTTTGTTTCTTCCCTTTGACTGCAGGTTCTGGATCAGTCTTGCACTGTTCAGAGCTCTAAAAAGTAGGTTTCATCCCTGTAGTCTTTGAGAGTCTGTACAAGAGCATTGACTAAATCTACAGCTGAACCTGAAACATACACACTTTAACTCATAAAAACATATACAAAAAGATTCTCTAAAAAAAAACAGATGCGTGTTTTACTGTTTACTGTCTATGTGCTTTTTAGCGACAATATTATGAAATCTTTGACTAGCTACAAAATCAGTGTGAACATTTTCTTGTTGGTCAGAACTGCTTGGTTGTATGTGGCTGGATAGTGGGAGTGGTTGTGCTGCAAAAAAATGCTCTGCAAGAAAAAAAGTAACAACTGGATGTAGCTCCAGAACACATATAGTCCTTAAACAGGTTCCACTACTTAGTTGTGAGGGGTTGCTAGACTTTAGGTTGTGGTGGTCCACAGGCCATCCCTTGACTCCGCTACAGTTCCTACAGCGGAAAACCACCTTCTATGTCGTTATAGGACCATGTCCTATATCATTCCATTTGCACTGAGATAAAAAAATTAAAATAACTCTTCACATTCTGAGTAAATCTGAACAGTTTCAATGTGTGATGTGGCCTGTTGGTGTAACAGATGTCAGAAAAACACAACAGTGTCCTGATGAATTCATCTGATCTACATTAACATTAGGTATCAGTAAGGTTGTATTTAACGGAGCCATGCCGACTCTCCTAAATGTGTATTGCATATTTGCTTATACTTACTAGCACGATGCCGAATGGCTTTCCGTGGCAAGTTAGTCAACTTTGCTGTTATCTTTCCTCTTCTGTCAACAAGTTCTGTGTATCTGCAACACAGATAAAAGAAATGCTAAATTACCATATTGTTGATTTTGTTGTGGCAGTTTTAATAATCAAGAAGATCCTACTAGTACCTGGGCAGTTCCTCTGAGTTCTCTGTTTCGGTGGTCCCACCCAGGTCTTGAGGCTGAGCTGGGGTTAGCGTACGACCACCCTGAGCTCCCTGTCCTGTCACTGTTGGCCTCTCTCTCCTCCCTGGTCTTACTTGCATTGGCACTGGGTCAAAGAAAATTAGCACAAAACAAGAGTGCTTCAAAAATTACTTCTTTATCACCGTATCAAGATTCAGTGAGATTCTACTCCTGAGAGCACAAATCCCACAAATAGCATGCTTTCATGTAAAAATTTCCCCAGACACTCACAGGTAGTGAAGGCTAAGTGCTGAGGTATGCTGTGGATCTGCTCCTGCCTCGTGTTCCTGACCGATGTCAGAGCCACATAGTAGTGCTGTCCTGGCGTCAGTTCACGGAGCATGTACGATCCCAACTTCCCATTGGGCAGGAAGCGACTCCTGGTGTTCAAGCCGCGGGTCACGTTGACCACAAAGCCATCTGGAATGTTTCTTGGGTGGCGGCTCCAGGTGATCAGTGCTGAGTTAGGGGTCACATGTGACAGGGAGAGGTTCTGTGGGGGGAGAGGCCCTGAGGGTAACACATGTAGATGGTCAGACGGCTGCATGAACAGCATTTTCCGTTTTAACTGTGCACAAACAGAGTTCTGTGTCTGGTCAGGTTATAAGGGATTGTTCAGGAAGGTCAGTGGTTGAAGACGCATAAAGATCCTTATGGGTTTTTATGCTTGTTTATTTTTTAAGTAAAAGTACAATTGAAGCACTGTAAAAATCATTACAAGTGAAAGTCCTGCATGAAAAATCTTAAAATTACACAAGCATTAGCAGCAAAATGTAGCTAAAGTATTAAGCAAAATTCCTGGTTAGGTCCTTTTGACTGATATATTATCATACATGACGTCATTAGATTAATAACAGTGAAGAGTCAGTGTGTCAGCAGCATGTCGCAGAATTTGAATGACTTGTAGTCTAGTTGTATATACAGGGACAGCACATAAATCTGAGGGCTTATCACATGAGTAATGTAGGAGGAAAGAACAAAAAACAAAGGTCTTTTTCCTCTAATCCGTGATTTTTGGTAAAATATTGGATCATTTTATGAACATAAATCTTTGTGAGAACTTCAGAGAGAGAAATCCCTACTTGTTGGAGCTGTTACCAGTTCATTGACATCTGAACGGGAGCCCGACTACACACTGGTTTTTGTAAGAAGACAATGCGGTTTTCCTTTTTTGTAAAAGCAAGTAAAGCTGTAAGATAAATGTAGTGGAGCAGAGAGTAAAATATACTTCCACTCCTCTACATTTCAGAGGGAGAAAAAGTAGATAAAATGTAAATACACAAGTAAAGTAACTCAAAATTGTACTTAAGACCAGGCCATAACTGAATGTGCTCAGTTACATTTCACTACTGATGGCGATAACCATCCTTTATATCATACATGTTGTTGCTTAGTATTGATATACAGATGGTATAAATCAGTGACGTGCGGTCAAGGGAGGCATTCATCCAGCCATCCATTATCTATACACCGCTTAATCCTCACGAGGGTCGCGGGGGGGCTGGAGTCTATCCCAGCTGACTTAAGGTGAAGGCAGGGGACACCCTGGACAGGTCGCCAGTCTATCGCAGGGCTACACTTAGAGACAGACAACCAAGCACACTCACAGTCACACCTACGGACAATTTAGAATCACCAGTTAACCTCAACATGTTTTTGGACTGTGTGGGAGGAACCCACGCTGCATGGGGAGAACATGCAGACTCCACGTAGAAAGAGAACATGCAGACTCCACGTAGAAAGATTCCGGTGCCCCCACCGGGACGCGAACCGGCAACCTTCTTGCTGCGAGGCAACAGTGCTACCAACTGCGCCACCTTGCAGCCCTCACCTGACATCACGGAAAGAAAAAAATATATGATAATGACAATAATTTAAATGGTTATATTTATCAAGTGATTTGTACTATAAAGTATTTATTTTTTCATTTAGCCTCGTCAGTTTTGACGATTTTTAAATTAAAAATAGCTACATTTTCGCAATTTCCCATTCAAATGCTTGGCAGAGAAGCCGGTGAGACAGCAGTGAGCTGTGCCTCACCTGTATTGTGCAACTGCGCAGGCTGCCATGCGTAGGCTGTCACTGCATGGCAGCCAGCGAAGTGAGGGATTGCACAAGCGAGCTCAGCCTCATTTGGTAGCCCTCGCTACCTATGCTGGATGCCATGCAGTGACAGCGTGCTGCTGTCTGGATGTCGCCAATAACATGTTTCAAACACATTTAATATATGAATTGATTTTCCATAGTTCAGCTGTTGTATATGATAATGTACATTGTTTTTTTGTTCCCAACTGTATGTGTGTAACGTGTTCCGTGTGCTGAGTGATCATAAACGACTGAGAAGAGGTTCTAGGTGAGGCAGGCAGTTCTCCTGCCTCATGGCAGGGCACGCTCTGATCCCAGACATGCTTCTTGTGACTCCGTGGCTGCAGAGTAAGTGACAGCAAGCTAGACTAGGTACGGTATACAGTTAGCAAGTCAAGTGCAGCGAAGGAAGATAAGGAGACTTTTACAAAAAAGCAACAGATATTTTGTCCAGAAGGAGCAGAGCATGGACTTTATTTGAAGGTAAAGGTAAGACCGCAATAACTTGGAAAAAAAAAAAAAAGAAACATGCGTTTTGTGGGCTACAGTTTGTATGTGTAAAGAATGCAGATATGAAACATAACCCATAAACTGCTGCCAATCAAATGGCAAATATGCTCCTGTGTAGAGTGCATATATTTGTAAATCAGATTCTAATGAAGTCAGTGCCTCACCAGCCATGAAACTCACTGCACGTCACTGGTATAAATATTGCTGTATGTATTGTTGCACTGACTGCTGAATGATGGAACCTACTTGTCCAGAATTGCAGTGGTCCAGCTGAGTGGCTCGTAGAAGGAAACTCATCTGCTCTGATTCCACTTTGAGTCAACACGTCCACTGTGTACATCTGACCAGGCAGCAACGAACTGAGAAACAGAAGGAGGCAGACAAAAAACGCATTTCAGTCATACCTCAATATCTTAACTGTTAAGTGCTCATTAAGTGTGATGTGATTCTGCCCTCTGCTGGTTGAAAGATAAACTACCCAAAGCCATTTAAAGCAAAACACTTTAACAGCGCCATTCAGTGGACAAAAATGATGCTGCTGGTGTGTGAATGGAAATTCTGGGTGATCAGTGTTCTTCAGAGTCAAAGTGCAGAACCTGACCTGAAGCTGTACTCAGTGGTGCTCATGTTGAGGATGGCAGTACGAGCCTCGCTTCCATCTGAAGGCAGTAAAGACACGTGAACCCTGCTGACGGCTGCATGCCGAGCAGCCTGAACCAACCAGCTCAGCCAAACCTGAGAGGAGGAGACGTTCACCACCTGCAGCTGCTCCACCCGCCGAGGTCCTTGCAAAGAAACACACAGTTACACAAGGAAAGTCATGCAAGCATTCGAACTTGTGAATACACTCAGAAACGTTCCAAGAATCCTATTTTTTACTATAGAGCTGCAACAGTTAATCGATTAGTTGTCAACTATTACGTTTGTTGTTTCCCACATCTATTCTAATCTTATTGGTAAGTCGGGTTTTGCAAGGCAAAACCTTTCCTGTCATGAATCAGCGTGGAAAGACAAAGTTTGGCAAAATTTACATGCTGCATTCAGTGAGATGCTTAAAAGGCGTTTTGTACCTTCTGCACATCAGTCTGAAACAATGAAATACTTTTGAAAAAAGCATCCTTAATCATCATTAAAAGGGACAGAACAATCTTAAAGAAGCAGCTTATCCTCAAGAGCACAAGACAATATATCTGTTTCATGGATTACTTTTTAGAAATAAAATCTAAATGGTCTGATTACAGCTTCTTAATATATTTTCTAATTTCTTTCGTCCTCTATGACAGTAAACTGAATATCTTTGGATTGTGAACAAAACAAGACATTTAAGGATGTCATCTTGGGTGTTGGGGAACATTGAATAACACTTATAGACCGAACAAGTAATCAATTGAGGAAATATTCAGCAGATGAATCCACAATGTAAATAATAGCTAGTTGCAGCCCTAATTTACTTCTGTGTGACATTACAGAGTGTGCTCACTGGTGCGTATCAGTGCAGTGGCTGGCTGGCTTGTGTCGTTGCTGTTGGTTTTGAGTTTGATGGAGACGGTGGAGATGTTGTACAGCAGGCCGGGCACTAGGCCTTGCATCACGTGGGTGGACTGCTGCCGGTCCAGATAGTCTGTTTTGGGATTGCTGTGGCCCAGAGGAGCATATGTGACAGCGAACATGCTGATCAGGCTGTGTGAAGGCTCTGGTTCATCCCAGCGAAGCTCCACCTCGCTCTCCTCCACACGCAGCACATGGAGACCAGGCGGAGGCAGCAGGTCTGGGAACAGTGGCAACCTTACATGTCTAATCCATACATTAAACAGTTACAGAGTCGCCTTTGCAATCCACAGGATGAGCTTGTAGAGTGCAGCGCAGTGTGATTGTTGACTGACCTTTCTCACAGTCTTTGCCAGTGAGTCCTATTTTGCAAACACAGTTGTAGTTTCCTCTCCTGTCGCTCCAGCAGCGGCCTCGGTTCCCACAAGGTTTCAGTACACATGGGTCCTCCACTGGGGGGTGACAAACACAAACAGTCGCAACAACATGATTCATATCAGCACAGCCAACAACTTAGGATGTTTGTGTGGGCTTCTATATAATCCTTTTGACACCTTATTTTGATTAAACATACAAATTGAGGTGTTGAAATTTAGCCTTAATTTATATACATATTAAAGAGCCCATATAGTGCAGATACACAGGTTTATCATTTTATTTTTGGGGTCTTGTAGAATACGTTTAAATGCTTTAATGTTAAAAAAGAACAATATATTATTTGTCTCATACTGTACATTGCTGCAGCACCTCTTCTCATCCTCTTAAATATAGCTACCAGACAGGCGTTATGCAAATGTGTGACATGGTGACACAAATAAATAACTCAAGAGAGGCCTGGACTTTAAACAAATCAATTAAGGCGGGTAAAGAGTGTTTTTTACTGTAAATGAATATTTCCCTCTGCCATGGACTGTGGGCTTTGTAAATTTGCAGACCTTTTTACATGCACAGAAAAACGTAATCACACCAAATGCAAAACATGAAAACTCAAAGAGCAAAATATAAACATTTAAAAAACACACACCAAGAAAAACCCAGCAAATATCAGATTCACTTAAAAGCAAAATCTGATAATGTTCTTAAAATATGGGCACTTTTTACATTACTTTTTCTTCTTCCTTGATTATTTTACACATTTGGTGTATTTTTGTAGTCTGCTGGGAAAAGAGAGTTAAGCTTTTGGGTTATTTTTTAAATTTTTGTATATATCGATGAGCAACAAAGATCTTACATACCTTTTGATGTTATTTTTTAGTGCCTGTTTTGATCATTGGTTACTCAGAAACCACTTATGCAATATATACTGTTCATATATTGATGTGTGCAAAGTTAAATTGACTTTCTTTAAAAAAAAAACTCAATGTTGACAGAGCTGTTTCTCAAACAAAAGCATATGTCTTAAAGGATTTTCTACATCTCTTTCTAGAGTTGTCATTCCAGGATTTCATCAAGACAGATGAGAAATTAAAAGAAAACCAAAATAAAGTGTCTTAGTAAGGTGTTGGACCACTTTGTGCTTCCAGAACAACTTCAATGTCCCTTGGCACTGATTCTCCAAGTCTCTGGATCTCTACTGGACTGATGAATATCTTTCTTTCATGATGGAGAGCACTGACTAACATGTACAAAATCTCCTAAAGGTGGTGAATTGGGTTGAGATCTGGTGACTGTAAAAGACACAGCATATGACTCCTCGAGTTTTCATTTTCAAGGCATTCAATGACCCCCAGTGCCCTATAGATGGGAGCATTGTCATCCTGGAAGAGACTCACTCAGAACAGCTCTACTGATATGCAGTGACTCCATCCTCTGAGGGAACAAGTGGACCCAAACCATGTCATTAAAGTGCCCCCCACAGCATAACAAAGCCACCTGATCCCCTCATTGCAGAGGTCCAGGGTTTAAATTTTCCGTTTAATTTATTACCAGTCTGTATAAGATACTTCTCTTATATAGAACTTGGAGACATTTAAGAGTTTTCTTAGAAGAGTATGAATCAGTTTCAACCAAACAGATTTGTGAAGCAGGGCAAAGCCACTTACACATCTGGCACTGGTCCCCGAAGAAACCATCTTTACAAACACACATATAATTCCGTCTGTAACCCCGACACACACCTCCATTAAGACAGGGGTTGGACTCGCAGCCGTCCTGCTCTGCACACAGAAAATGACAATTTAATAGAATTTGTTGTTCTGCATAGTAATGAATGTAAAACTGTGCATAATTAGTAATATGAGAGTTTAAAATAACACTGCACCTATTTCACAGTTCTGGCCTTTGAAGCCTGGTGGACAGTGACATAAGTAGGAGCCTAGCTGGTCCTCACAGGTCCCCCTGTTCTTGCAGGGTTCCGACAGGCATTCGTTTATGTCTTAAGGGAGATGAAACACACAAGCATCCATACTGAATGTGTCTGTGAATTACATTTCTGTATTTAATATTAATTTGATCAAGACTTACCTGTCTGACAGCGGTTGCCACTGAAGCCCTCAGTGCACACACACTGGTAGGATCCAATCTTGTTTCGACATGTACCGCCATTAAAACAGGGCTGTGATAAACACTCGTTGATTTCTGTGAAGATGGGAAAATAAGAAAATAGTCTAAATAAATACCAACCTAAAATATTTTATTTTACAAAGGAGGAAAGAATGGCTGCAATCTTAAGGCTCTGATGACTGATTAGACAGGTGATCTTTGGAGCATGTAAAAAGACAAAAAACAAAAAAAATCACCAAGCTTGTGCAATTTATCAAGCTGTAAACTGTAAAGAGAGGGAAAAAATGTAACATTTGTAAACAGTCTGTGATTATCATCTGTGGAAAAACAGACCAAAAAAAAAAGATTGTGATATATCATCCCAATTGCTTTATTCTTCATCTCTCATTCAAAATAAACTGTTCGGACCAGATGTTGTCATACAACAACAACAACAACAACAACAACAACAAAAAACACAGCACTTCTCAGAGCAACTTGGAAATAATGATTAACTCAGCAGTGACCAACAATGAAGTGACAAAAATACAAAAGATTTTCAGGTGACCTGCAGGCTGTGTTTACACACAACAGAGTGGAGACAACAAAAGACACTGAGAGGAAAATAAAACAGACTTGATTAAGAAAATAAATGTAGCATGGTTGAAAAACCAGAGGAGGAGGAGCAAGCTGTCAGCAACCTGTTGGAAGATACATTCAGCATAATGAACAGTCTTGATCTGCAGACTAGTGTGAAGAACGCCAAGTATTCAGAGGTTGTAAAAATGTAAACAGTGTCTACAGCATGTGGAGACCAGTATGTGTAACACCTGTGTGCAATCAGAAAAGTGTACATATTGATTCAGATTTTTTGGAAAATAATAAAATCAAAGTTTTTCCCCCTCCTTTTTTATGATTTATGACTTATAATTGTTTCACAGTGACTGAAGACATTTTGGATTTCTCTCTACTTTTGGCCGTGGTTGTATTTCTGTTACATAGAGGTGCAGGGCTTTATATAGTAAAAAAAATAAATAAATAAAAAATATTCTGCACTATTTAATACAAAGCATGACTTCTTGGACCTTGTTATTTCTAAAAGACTTTCCATTCTAAACTGTTGTAGTAACTGGGTTCTTTTTTTATTTGGGCTTTTTTGGGGATCTGTGTGTTGATGTGTGTTACAGACCCTCACAAACCGGTGGCTGGCTCCAGTCTCCCTGAATACCACAGATGCTCTGGGTAGCTCTGGGCACCGACGTGAAGCCTGGGTGGCATATATACACAGCCATGGAGCCCGGTGTTGTCAAGGAGAACTGGACCTCAGCATGCTTGACTTGCGGGGGCGGCCCACAGCCCAGCTCTGAAATGAATATGAACGTGTTGACGTCAGCATGGCTGCTTCGAAACACAAGTTCACATACACTGAGGCTTAAAGGAGCTCATCCAGAGCATACTAATGCCAGCGGAGGTGTTTTCCATCCTGGTTCTCTGTTTCTGTCCTCCTAATATTACCTTCAGCACGCTATTAGAGCGTATAGACACGAATCATCAGGTTGAATCAGGCCCTACTATATATAGCTTATGCAGCCGTTCTATATCTGTAAATGTGAGGCCTCTAGTGCAGCAACACTGCTAAGATTATCTTCAGATGGAGAGTCAGTATCTACACAGTTAAACCCTCAGGATATACCCTGCTCGTGCCAATCATTGTACAAACATTAGCGTCAGGGTGAGATTAAGACATTGTTGTGTGATGACATATGGTCTGCTTACCTGCAGAGGTATGTACTGAGCTCCTGCTTACTTCACAGTGCCGGCCGCTGAAGGCATCTGTGCATTCGCATTTATACTTTCCTATGTAGTGAAAACATGTCCCACCATTCAGACAGGGGCTGGAGGCACAGGGGTCGGGCTTCCCTAGAAGAAAACACCAACATACACAATAATATAGTTAAGTCTGCTACTAAGACAGTTTGCTGTTTTGAGATCAAAGGGGAAGGTACTGTACAGTTCAGAGTTTTAAAGGAAAGTCAGGTGAAGTCAATGTTATTTATATAGCACATTTTAAACAACAGACATTAGAAGTGCTTTCCAACAGGGAAATAAAGTTAACATATCAAATTTACCCAAATAATAAAATATTTAAAAAATATTTTAAATGATTATTCATGAAAGGTGGTTCAAGGCAGGTGCTAGGTTATTTAAACAAAAATATGTTGATTATGTGTCTGAAAGATGTGCTCAGGTTAGAGTTATGCTGGCATGTACATGAAGTCCTCATGTATTAATAAGAAAGATAAAGCTGTAAAGTGTCCCTGACAACCCATAAGGACAGTTCCTGAAGGTCTGGAATCAGTGATCATGCTACAGATGATAACTCACATGTACAATGATCATGTTGAGTGCATACCATTAAAAAAACAAATCATCTTCAGGGTATCTTGGAAGCCAGATAGCTTAGCAGTCTTAAAAGGGATTGACTGTCCATTTTTGTTGCTTGAAGTGAATTTTTCTGGTTACACTAAAACACTTTTATAAACACAGGATTTTTACAACAGAGTATTTTTACCTTGCAGTAATATTACTACACCAGACGTAATAGTACTGCAGGGAAAGGTACTTCATCTAAATTAAAGGTAGTAGCAGAAGCTCTTTCTGCTTATTTAGTTCAAGAATACTCATTGAAATCTAATCTATTTATGGTTTATTTATGGCTTATTTCATAGGGACAGACACAGCATACATAGATAAACTGAAAAGACTTATCCAATGCAAGTATCATGATGTTTAGAGAGAAATCTAATTTGCGGCACCTGTCTCGAGAAGGGTTTTTTTTAGTCCTTATGAGGGGTTTTAGGAATTTGAAACCATAAGTGCAACAGTGTATACACTGGGCACACGCTTATACACTCATGTATGGGAAGAACTGGGCTCATCTGGTGATTACATTTGTTATCATGTACTTTAATTACTTTAATAACAACAAGGTTTGGGCACTGCATAGAGAATGTTTTCATTAAGGTGGCACTCACCCACTTCACAATGTTTTCCAGTGAACCTGTAAGGACACACACACCGGTAGCTACCTGCCTCTTCTTTACAGGAGCCTCCGTTGCGGCAGGGACCAGAAGCGCAGGTATTGAGTCTAACTGGAAAGAGACAGAGAAAAGGGAATCCTTGAGGCAGTGAGCACTCAAGCTTTTAATCACACAAAATAAATCTGTTCCGGTACATTGCAATTCGAGTCATCAGGAAAAGAGCCCATAAATCAGTCATAAGTAAAAATTATCCTAAGCCTTTCAGCAATGCCATATTTCAAGCAGCATTACGAGTAATGGCATGCATTAAAGCTGGAGTTGGGTTTAAGCCTGGGTAATAACGCATGAATCTGAAGGATGCTTTGATATTGGTGCTTCATGCATTCACATGCAGGCATTTCTCTGTAGTTTTATCAATTATGCTACCTTTTTCACAGTGCTTCCCCCAGTATCCGTATTTGCATTCACAGGTGTAGCCTCCATCCCGCTCGTAGCAGTAGCCCCCATTCAGACAGGGAGAGGAGTCACAGACCGATCGGGGCTGTACTGAAAAACACACACCGAGACTTGACTGTGTTCCATTGCACTGGGAAATGGCAAAACAGATTATTTGTCATTTTATGATCGGATCAATTGCAAAATCTCACAAATGCACTTCTGTGACAACATCAGTCATTTGTGAATTTTTTTCCACCTTCTTAAACTACAAATGTGACCATTCTGTCTGAAGCAGAAAATGACACGTGATTTGCTTAGAAGTGTGTTTGTTGCCACAGAGCAACAGGCTGCCACATGCAAAATGATATGTTGTTGGATTGGTGCTCTTACCATAGGTGTAGATTTCACAGAGGAAGGAGAGAAGGGGTATGTTCCCCTCAATATTTAGAATGAGCACTTTTCTTCCACTCAATAACAATATGAAAGAAGGAAAGGACTTTTATTTTGAAAAGCTCTAATATTTACTCTGACACAACGGGTCTTTTTTCATCAGCATATTGAACAGAGATATGTGTAATATGTTATGAATATGCAGAAGTTTTGAAGCTGAGCAGAAATCTTAAAGTCCAGAGGTTTATAAATAATCAAAATGGTGTGAAAAGGTGCCACCGGTGCATTAAAAGAAGTTATTTCCCCAAACAAAATACACAAAAGAGCACAGAAGAGTAAATCCAGCCTGTAAGTGTGTTGATTTAACAGGAAAAATACTAAATTAGAAAAGTTGATTCACAGGAGAATAAATATTTATTCATTATATTCCATTATATAATGCAGTGCCTAAATGCTGTCTTTAACAAGAACACATTTCTACCATAAATTGATGCAGAAATTGGTGCATAAATATTCAACAGAATGCAGGAAATGAGCTGTTTGGCATTTAAAATTTTGGGTTGGAGGATGACCACACCCACTCCCCAATGTTCAAACGATATCTATGTCCATGGCTCTTACCATAGGGGTAAGGAGGATCCAGCTCCGCTCCAGTCTGACACGTACATAGGTAGGTTCCTCCGTACTCCAAACAAGGACCTCCATCAGGGCAAGGTCTGCTGTTACTGCATGGCGTCTGGGTTACTTCTGAGTGTGAGAGACAGGTTCACAAACTTTGGAAAAATGTCTTTTGGTCTGAGACATCTGGGATCTTACAGTGACGCCAGTCATCAAAGCTTTTTGTGAGACACCCGATAGGATTATACATATCATACCCACCAAACTGACAGTAGATTCCTGTGTAGCCTGAAGGGCATTCACAGGTTCCATTGATATCCACACAGATACCCCCATTCTGGCAAAGACATTCCTCTGCAGACACAGAGAGAGAGTGTGTGTGTTAGAATGAAAGACTAAAGCTGGAAAGTTTGCGAGCTAGTTGAAAGCAAGTGCTTAAATTAGGTAAAGTTTTCAGCATTGGCCTACGTGTAAACAAAGACAGAAGGTATAAACGGTCAACATCTGCACCATATGCTGAGCTGCTTTCATCTACAATACTGTAAACTCTGTATTGATTCACTGTCATTTCTCTTTCCCTAATCTTTTCCAACAAAGTTCACAGGACCAGAAGATTACCAGCCAGCACGCCGAACATCCGCTCTGCACAAATTGTAAGAATGTTTTTATTTTCCTCTGCTTCCTAATTGCAACAGTGGATCAAAGGACATGGCCGTATCACAGCTAAATGGCTCCGCTTTGAAGTCCCGGGAGCTCGGTGGAGGGTATTATTTTTCTGATGATATGGAGCATATTTTGTGGCCAAAATGCTTGGCCCTGAGGGCAATTAATGGATTGTTAATTTGCAAGAGCCACTTTCATTGGCCACCTGTGCGGCCCAGGCCCTTTGATCTGAGAGCCTGATTAGGCACTTCTGAGTCCCGCTACTTTCTCTTCCTTGGAGGATCGTGCTCCTTTTTCCGCTGTGCCTTCCAAGTGAGCCAGGCAGGAAAGTATTTGGGAGATTTAAGAGAGCCTATATAAGCACTGATAGTTATTTCAGCTCACGGGTGAGAAGTAGCATGCATTTGCAATAGCTCAAATACTATTAAAGTGCTTTTAGTTGGGGTGGGGGGGACCTTGCGGCAACTGCTATCAGTGAATGACAGTAACCTCTTATGGGAGCCTGAATTAGCCTCACCACTAAAACAAACAGACATTAAATATAATACAAAATGACTTAATATGCATTCATAAAGGAAGGTATGACGCCTTAGGTAAGGATATTTTGTGTTTGAATTGGTTATGCAAGCAGCAGCTGTGTTTGAAAGTAGTGCGGTGCAATGGCCAACTTCCAAAGAAGCAAGTAGTGGTGTGGAAGCATGCATATTTCAACAGCTCTGTCTGTAGAAATGACCTGAATACCAAAGACCAGCTTTGACTCATAAACAGGCCTTTTTAAGTCTAGACAAAGCACTTCCTCTTGTTGGTAAACTAATAAAATGTGCTATAAAACAATTATTTACAAGATCAAGCGACTGGTTCCCGTAGTAAACTGGGCGAGGCCGTGTCAGTTTTGATAATTACAATAATCCATCATCACAGCAGCCTCTTCCAGGGCAGAGTTCCAAATTCCTGTGGGATAGCACAGCTCCTCTTCAAATACCCCAGTCTGCTCTCTACCTGCCCAGCTGCCTGCTGTAAGCGTCAGTCTGGCCAAATGTACAATACCTTCACACTTGTCACCATAGAAGCCTGGAGCACATGTACAGTTGTAGATACCCGAGCTGGTGTGTTCACAAATCTGGTGCTTCTTGCAGTCTTCGTCTTCACACAAGGCTGGAGATGGAAAACAGGTTGACAGGCTGTGATGTAAAAACCAAGCGAATATGAAAAACTTTTGGCAAAGCTTCAGCTGTAGCTGTACTTGCTTTTACCTGTTTGGTTTTCTGCCTCAGTTGAATTGGCCTGAAGCGCCACCAGCTCTGAAAGTGGAAGACAAGAACGTGCTTTAAAGGGTTTGTTCTTCCAAACACCAATAACACATATTTCTTCTCTTATATCTGGTGGTATGCAGCAGAGGTAAGAGAGTTTATGGATTCATTTGCTCAGGTTTGGAGATACACGACTCTGAGATATATGCATACTACCACCCCAGTACATCCAATATGAATGTAACTGAGTTATACACTGTTGAAAAATCACATTAAAACTATGTATATTCAGAAAAGGTGTCCAAATGGTGCCTATGAAAACTTTTTACACTGGTAATCCATTCACTTTCATGGTATAGGGATGCCAAAATGAACCCAAACCTATTTATTACAAGATAGCACTAACTGGAGGAACGCAAAAAATATGAGAAATATGTGGGAAATTTGTGATAACATCATTCTGCCTAATTAGTTTTCATTAAAACATCTCACAGGTTGAATGAAATATATTTAAATTACGTGATGAAACACATGAAATCCCACAAAGGACGCTTAAAGTGGTCACTTTGCTAGGTTTTTAGCTTGATAGCTTTTAATGGAATTACTTTTCCATTTCAAGATTTAGATTTTATCATGTTGAAGTGATGTAACAAGTATAAAAATATAACCTCAAAATGTATTTATTTTTAATTCTATGAAACAGTGAAAAGTTTGTAAACTGGGTTTCGCCAAATCTGTTGAATTAGACCTTAAATAGCAAGGGTGCCATCACACCATCAAGGTATTGCGAAATTTTACAGTGCTCTCTGAAATGATATGTTCTGTGGTTGGCTGAGTTTCACAATCAACAACATTGTTTGGCCATATGTTTTATTTTTTGACAACTTAGTTTTCCAATTTTGAATTCTGGCTCTCCTGCCAAAACAGGATAAATCGATTGATGTTGCTCTACTTTCTGTGTAGTAATTATATAGCTACAGCCAGGAGGTGATTAGATTAGCTTTGCATAAACACTGACTCCCTCTAGAATTCAAGGACATGTCAGTAACACTTCACGAACACATAGTCGAGCTGACAACATCGTAGCCTGGTGAACCACGAGGCTGGTTGTTTCCCTCTGCTCCCACTCTTGAAGGTATGAAAGCTGCATAGCTACGTTAACAACTTCACAAAGAACAGAGAGCAGCAATTACAGAAACAGCAAACTTGAGAATAACAAAAAGGGTCATAAGTTTGCTGACTACAATTATCATAGAACAGTAACTTGGAACTGCTGTGCCGAAACAAGAAATTTATTGTTCGGACATTGACAAATTTAGGAAAGTTTCTTCAGAAAAGTAGGTTTTATGTAAAGTATTTCTGTAAATGTAAGAATAAAACTATGATATCAACTAATGTATGCCTATATTGTTATTGTATTTATTTAGTAATTTCAGTGAACTAATTGTTAAAATAACCTTTGCAGACAGTAACAGAGCCCACACTTTATTAGACTGCACTGAACTAATATGCAGATAGGATGATTGACAAACACACATAAGAAATTTCAGACACTGAACCCACCAAATAAAGTACCAGCTGACTTAAACAACGGTTGAAGATACGAACACTCCTTGCAAACACTTGCTCTATAAGATGTAACACAGGTTCCCCTTTATTGCTTGCTCCAGTTGGAACAGTGCTACATTACAGGAAGCCAAAGAAGTAAGCAGTGTAAAACTGTCAAAAGCAACTTTTCTGAACATGCTCTGTGGGCATTACTCAAGTTAATGCACTCACCTGTCTCACAGAATGCTCCAGTGAACGTAGCCGGACACGCGCAGGTGAAGTTGTTCACCTGATCGATGCACTCTCCTCCATTCAGACAGGGCTGCGACTCACATTCGTCTATATCTGGAGGATACACAAAAGTCCATTAATCAGAAGATGACAAGTTTATCTTCTGTTGGTTCAGTTTCACATTAAGATTTTTCAAGCGTCACATGGAAAAGCAAGAAGTTGTTGTTGTCTTGGACACTAAGTTGGATTAGGAGAATTGAACTTCCCTTCTGAAAGCATAGAGTTTCATTTACCAGGTGTCTGGTATTAAGAGTAATCTGGTCTCATGTAGAAACAAGGATTCATGAACTGTACAGGGCCTGATAATTTAATTCTCCACTGGATTCAAGTTTCATCAACAATCAATCACAAGAGAAAGGAGATTAGAAAATTACTTTTTTGGATACTGACTTGACTTCAGTGAACTTTCTCATTGTGGTTCATTGCTACAGTGTGTGACCCAAAAAAAAAAAAAAAGAGCTGCTTGCAAATCCATTCAACCATAACCCATTTGTCTAGGTAGACTGGGAAACTCTTTGGACAGAAACATCTGTCAAAAGACTGAGTTTGATGTAGAAAGCAGCAGAAAATATTTCCTCTGGAGAGAGATGCCTACTTTCCTGCGGACTGTGAAAAACTCCGCTCACCTGTCTCACACAGCACACCAGTGTAACCCGGCTTGCACACACAGGTGAAGCTGCCAGGGCCTTGTACACACGACGCGTTGTTGAAGCATGGCCTGTCTTTGCACTCGTCAATGTCTGCAACACACACACACACACACACACACACACACGCACACACACACAGGCAGAGAGACACGCTCATGGAATATTTACTCAGCTGATTAATATATCCGATACACTGCTCCCCTCACTCTGCAAGTATGCGCTGCTGGCTGCGAAAGGTATTAGAAGAGGTTTGATACATCTCCACTGGCCGGACTGTGGGAATAGGCACAGAAGCTTCAGAGAGACCGGACACACATATTATAAAAAACTTTTTTTGTTGTTGTTGTCTTCAACATAATTATTTTATGCAGAGGCCAGGAGAAGAAATGTGGAATTTGTGATATACAGTGAATAAAATGGATCACCTGTCTGTGGTTTTCGAGTTCAAAATCATTAGAACCTGACCAATGCTGGGAGAAGGAGAATGACATGCAGTAAAAGTCCAGCCAGGCAGGAATCGAACCAGGTACCACGGCCGATGACATTGGCAACCATGTGGTATGTGCCCTAAACTTTTGTTTATTGAGTTGATATATATCCAGTGGCCAGAATCTCCGGAGAGGCTGGACCACGATAGTCTACAAAACAGTTTTTGTTTCAGCCAAGAATCAAACCAGTGACTCACTGCAGAAAACATTGGCACCTGCTGGTTATACACCCTACCAACTTTTACAACTTTTACCTACTCAGTTAGGTAAATATACACAGTATACATTTCTTATACATATGTTTACACTTCAAGAAATTATTTAAAGTTTTTACCCCATAAATTAAAGAGTCTCTATTAGGAGCAGTAATAGAAATGTTAGAAGAGGTTTAGTACATCTCCACATGCTGGACTGTGGAACTCCAGAGAGGCTGGACAGATATTGAAAGGTGCTTAATGAGACAAAAAAACAACAACCTTGAAGTAATCAGTTTTTCCAGGTCTTTAGCCTATTTACTTTATGCAAAACATACAAGAAGAAATGCAGAAAAAAAAAACCTCAATCATTAAGGGTTTTCAATAGTTAGAAATTATATGTCTACGAATCGGGGTATCACTGCTGATGGCATTGATTGGTACAAATGTGATATGCACACCAACAACTTGGCCATCACATTCACTCCATGCTCCTGTTTAAACAGCAGACATGTTTCTTGTTCGGATTTTTACTTTCCAAGTTATTATCTGCATATTAAGAAGATAAGAGAATTTATTAGGAGCAAGCAACTACAACAAATACAGTAAAAATAACTACAACAGCTTGAAGCAATGTACCAGTTGTACCTGTTTCACAGTGAATCCCTGTGTATCCAGGAGGACACTGACAGATGAAACTATTAATCTGGTCTTCACAAGTCCCCCCGTTCTGGCAAGGATTTGAAGAACACTCATCGACATCTGCAGCGACAGGGAGAAACACAAAGGAGCTAGTTTGATATTTTTAATTAGAGGGAAACATCTTGCCAAGGTCAGATAAAAAGGTAAAGTCCGAGGAGAAGAAGCTGATACAGGTATTAAGAAAATCTCCAGGTGTCCCTTTGGCAAGTCTAGTATTTTCCTTACAAGCATTTTTCCAGGGTGATCTCAGGTAGACAGGTAGTCATTCACAGTGTGGGTCAAGCGCAACAGAGCAGGAAGTGGTGTCAACCATAACTCACCGATCTGGCATCGTCGACCGGTGAAGCCAGCCAAGCAGGAGCAGGTGAAGGAGGGGTTTCCTGTGATACAGTCATCGATGCACTGGCCTCCGTTCAGGCAGGGGCGCAGGTGTGGGCACACTGAGGCTGCAGAAAGAGGTCAGTGTAACAGGAATCCTGGGAACAACAATAATAAGACATCAAGGAGCATTAAAAGTACTAATCTCACCAGAATTATTGCAGCCTCCCACTTCCACATGTGCATCATCTATACGGAAGACCCATCGGCCAGGGTAGCCCACGTTGGTGGTTCCCTCAACATTCACCACATCGGCGGTGCGAGAGCCAGGGATGTTGAAATAGCGCTTGCCATCACCGGCATTAAAACCTGCCTGGGAAGATAGTAACAAAGCCGAGGCAGTTACGACAAAGGATCATCGAATTACAATTCAGACGCATGGAAATGGGAAAGCAGATACTGGACATTCCATGTGATCTTACCTGTGCTGCAATCCCTCCCAGCCCAGCCAGGTTTCCTCCACTGCTGGCGTGCATACCTGTGGTCCAAGTGATGTTATTGTACTGGAGTATCGTGAAGGAAAGCTCTCCATCTGTAATGAGCACCACTTGGAAAGTATTTACCTGCACAGAAGAGAAAGAGACTTGGTTAAACCATTTCCTGATTTCTAGGAAATTTTGTAATAATACATGTATCTAACAGAATCTTCACATTGATGGTGCAGATTCAGTCAGCGTGAGACACAGTAGATTTTTCTGGACTTGTTGTGGAGGCAGATGGACAAGAACTTCAAAGACAACAGTAGAATCAGTAGATTTTTTAAAAACCAGATAATAAAAAATCATGTGAAAAGTTAACAAACAGACATTTACCATAGAATATAAGATTATTTAGATTTACATTCATTTTGTCTGATGGACCCAAATATTTGTATTAGATACGCTCAAGCACCCTTAGTTAAGTGGTTTCTTCCTACGAAAAGTGAATTCTTCTTCTCCACTGCTGCCAATATGTTTGCTCACAGATTCCCTATGAACTTTGACTTTGTTGGGTGTTCCATGTATTTTTTTTCCAGTACTACCCTTAATTTTTTAGTTACCAGGTAATTTAGCATTTTAGGTTCCTAATCTTCATATTTATATTAGTCAGGTAAGTTTGTATAATATATAATATTGTAGAGTCTTCACACTACTATTTAAATTAGTCAGGGTAATTTGTATGATATATAATACTGTAGGTTTGTAATCTTAATATTTAAATAACTCAGGTAATTTGGTTAATAAATAATAGTAGTATTTTAACCTTGTTTTTTTAAACACTCATACCTCGTATTTCTCAGTTCAAAAGCCCTTTGTCCAATATCTTTTGTTTAAATGTGCCATTTGAATAACAGTGATTCGACCTGACTTTTATCAGCACTACCCACCATGTTCCAGAAGTGTTTATTTCATTGGAATTTAATGTGACTTTGTCAATAACACAACACAAGTTTGATGTTATACAATTAAATGTATAAGATATTTTCCATACAGTTGACTGTGAAGGTTGCTTTTGTCAAGTCAGATGCTGCCAACACTTCGGGTGGCAGAAGATGGATCTACTTTTAGCCAACTATTTCAGCTTCTCTGGTGCCATGCTAAATAGCTTGCTAGCTAGCTTTCACGCACACCCAGAGGCAACATGTCTAACTAAGGTTGGTGGGAGGTGCATATGGTGCAGTCAGCCTTTTGTAGCTGGTACTGGTTACTGTCAGACTGAAATGACAAAAGATCAGCATTGGATGGTTGTGTCTGGATGAGATACTTCACAATCTCACCATACGCCCCGGGGTGGCTGCAAAACGTGATGGGGAACAAGTATCAATGGTTGGAGATCACTGATGAAGACCCGACAACAGTAATTACATAGGAGCAGGACAATTGTAAAATGAAATGTGAGATTATACCGGTGTACGGGAGTTGCCTCCAAAGAAAGTAACTTGATGCCATGTAGAGATGAGGGTCCATGTTGCGTTGAAGTCGGGGTACTCTGAAAAGTACGACCGAACATCACCTGAGGCCCTCCTCAGGATGGAGGGATCCTGACTCTCCCTGTAGAAGACTCTCCCGGCTCGACGGTTGTCCACATCGGCCCAGAATGGTGCCACAACCCGTCTGTCCCCGGCGATTGGAAAAGCTACTGGTGTGAACTGAGACACCTCCCTCAGGAAAGATACCAGGCCATTGTTGTTAACCTGAGGAGGAGATGCAGCTGGAGTAAGAGCATGGCAATAAAATCAATAAATCACTGCCAGATTTTCCTCAACATCATCAGATTTAACTTCTGTGATGTGTTTATAGGATTTGGTGGGTTTAGAGTGGAGGTGCAGAGGAAGGGACGCAAGTTCTGACCTCACAGGGCAAACAGCAGCATGGGGCAGCGAAAGCTCCATAACGGATATTTGCACTTCCCATGTAGCAAACAGACGCTACCTTTATTCCATATAATGACAGCAGCTGAGAAAACCTGGCTTCTGCTGCTCACGCACCTGCAAAGTCTTCACACTAGGAGGAACGTTCACGGTCTTTAAATCCACACATGACTGCCAACAGTAAAGCAACCAAGTAAATGACCCCATCCTCCCCTCACCTACATATCTCCTCTGTGAAAAATGCAGTCATGTTCTGCTGCATGCTGGAAAATCAGCTTCCTGAAAATCTACTTTTGAAGGTCAAGGAGGGGTGTATTTATAAATTAACTACTCAATTACCTGAATAATCAATGGACAATCACTTTAAAAATCGTAAAGCAAAAACTCCAGAAACTGAAATGTGAAAATAACTGTGATGGATGTCCTTCACCATTTCTGAGATTTCATACAAGAAGAAATGAAGAGTTTTATTTGAAACTTATTTCTAATTTCAATCTCATTTTTTTAATGAATAAAAAAAAATGTAGGCATTCAAGTGTTAAAACTGCATTCCTTAAATTTGCTTTGACATCTTGGGGGCAGCAGAATTATCTGTTAACAATATTGACATATTACCACATTGTAAAGTTACTAATATTGCTAACACTGAGGGCAGTGAGGACATATTTAGTCATACAGTAGAAAGCACATAGAAAAACTGGCATTTCCACTGGTTTAAACATTTAACTCTTTTTTTTGTTTCCAACTCCAGCAGAAATACCTGACTTTAGATTTTTCCTTTATTTGGTGCTGGACAAGTAGTGTCATGTTTTATTTACTAAAAACACCAAATGATACATACCTGCAAGCAACTGATCTCACATTACACAAAGTCATTTGAGCCATTGGGAACATAAAAGTATTGATTAATGTGCAGCAGTTAGACAACAAAATGTATTGCAAAATTATAATAGAACAACAATAATGGCTGCAACTTTAAGCTGAAAGTCACAGAATCAAGACACTAAATGTGTCTGATGTCAGATGTAACTCTACACTGTTGCGTTCTCTAGAATGTGCAGATCTTTAGTCCCTCCTCACCCCTCCTGACGTGGTGCAGCTCGAGCACACCAGTTTACCCGCGACTCTGTTTAGACACTGTAAACTGTCACTACATGATACCGAAGTTGTAATATTGTAGTAATTTATCCATACATGTTCGAACAGGAAACCGATGCTGAAGAAGAAGAAGAATACAGAAAGCCCCATGCTGCAAATTGACTGGATCGGATCAAGTTTTTACACATGAAACCCTGGAGTTATGAGATGGAGTTGCTTATTACAGTCATGATATGTCACATAGCATATAAACAAAACACAGAATGGACATCAAATCAAAAATCAAATCAAGTTTACTGTCATTTTGCTGTACATACACAGTAGTACAGGCAAGATGACAGTGCGTTTCTTCAGGATTATTCAACCAGCAATTATTTTGCGGAATGCACATCTGTAATAAGTCACTAAAAGTTCACTGTCGCTGCCTCCTGAAGAGGCCACTACGTCCATGCGCGCCGCCATCCGTTGAACATGGTGAACCTCTTCAGGTCCTGGTAGGTCTTCAGGGACACAAAGACACACACGATGGTGTGATGATGGTGAAGCTGCAGATGCTGCCCAGAGCTAGCTGTCTGTCTGTCCGCCCGGAATAATGTCGTCCCCTCCAGGTGTATGTCTGTCTGGGATGTTGTGATGGAGCCATGTTTCTGTTAAAGCCAACACACAGCAGTGCCTCCACTCTCTGCGGGTTTCTCTCAGCAAACGTAACTCATCCAGCTTGTTGTCAAGGGGGCAGACATTGGAGAGTAGGAGCGACGGTCCTGCTGGTCTGGAGGGGTTAGCCTTTAGCCTTTAGCCTAACATGGATCCCAGCTCTCTTCCTCCTCCTTTGTTTACGTTCGTACCGTTTGCGCTTCCTTCTCTCTGGGGCAACTGCCACCGTCATCTCTGATTGGACTCTGTGTTGGTGTAGTATGTTCAAATCACAACTGATCGCCACAATTCCAGCACTGTTCACTGTCCTGAAGCCCACAAGAAACTAACACAAGAAAGATCAGGCACACAGGCAGTAAACTAGAGATGTTTTGAGGAGAGGTTGACGTTCCTTCAGGGAGAAAGTTGAGTGGAAATATCAGTGCTTCTTGATAAGATATCTATGACAGATTAGCAATCTTGTTAAAATAGTAATTAACACAACGACTGATTCTGAAGAACTACTATGACAATTCCTTGCATCACAAACATTTACTGATGTCCAAAGTTACTGTAATAAACTGTGAACATCCTCAGGAAAAAGCTCCTAAACCTGAGTGAAGGTTCTGCAGGCTGAATGGTTAAATGCCTATGAAGGGCTTTCATTCATGCATTATTTCTAGGTATTCCCAACCTGGAGCGATTCTGCCTGCCATGACACCTACCCTGCTTCTCCTAAACTCTAGCGTGAACTTTACCTTCTGTCTTTGCATTCAGACCAAGAGGCTTGTGACGGTGACAAAGCAACGTCAGATGGCTGAGCTCCACTCTACGCATGTATGAAAACCATAATTTGAAGGACTTTGCTGTAAAAACAGCAGAGGAAGTTTTGTTTGGCACAGCACAGGAGCTGAGTTAATTGCCCGACCACAGCCTTCCCCTCTGCATCAGCGTGTTGTGGTGAGAATGTGGCCAATATGGGGAAAAAGACGACCGACTGCAGGGGCAGGGCCCGAGGGTCAGCCAGAGCGCTATCTGATACTGGGAGAAAAACAAGAGCGAAGGCATAGGGCTGGATGAATGGAAGGATGTACATGAATTACAAACCTTCCACACCCACATGCCCACTAATGAGAGAGCTGTGGTAGCAGTGGTCTGGAACTCACCCATCTTAAAGCAGAATTAGTGCAGGAAATCATGAACACTAAATAGAGTTTTATTCAATCCTGGAATATATTTAATCGCCTAATCCAATCTCGTGTAGCATCTGGAACTGTTTAAACAAGTGTATTTCTTTTTTGTTAAGATTTCTTTAGGCTACTTTGACATGGAAATGACCTACGAGGAATTTAAACTGAACTTAGGACCTTTTTCTTTGCATCATATCACATACTTTTCGTTTTCTCACGGATTCCAACCAGGCTTTAACTAGTGCAGACGTCCAGTGAAGGGTGGTTCTGCATCACACTTAAGTGAGAGAGTGAATGGGTTCAGAGCTGCCTTGTGTTCTGCTGTAACATGACCAAGGTCAGAATCACACGGGAGAGAGGTGCGATCAGTCAACCTTGTAAGAAGCATCTCTTTCCCCATATTTCTTTCTCTCACTCTTAATGGTGCCACTTCACTCCACAACACCACTGTTATTTTTTGGGAATTCTTTGCCGGATACATCCAGGATTTTGCTTGGGTGGTTTTCTTTAGAGCCAAGCAATTTATGGACTAAAATAAACTTTCATCTGGCTTAAGTCAAGCCAAAGCAAACCCTAAATGAAAAAGGTGCCCATGGATCAACTCAGGAAAACATTAGTTTTCCTTGTCAAAAATGGAGGTTTCACAGCTATAAGCTTGTCCAATTATTTGACGAGACCAAAGGAAGTGACTACAGTATGCAGTCTGTGCACTTGGCCTGTAACTGCTTAGCCCTGGCTCACCTTGAGCTACAAAGAGTTTAGATTGAGGCAATAAATCCTGTCTGCAACTGCATGGAAGGACTCAAATACAACTTCTTTTGCACAAGTATGGTGAAGGGTTGGCAAAAAGATATTAGTGCACTGTTTAACCGGTCTGTACATAGTAGGAAATGTATTGTACTAAATATTTATTTGAAAATTATACAGATTAGAATGAGCAAGAACATTTTAAATACTTCCATCCATTAACTTAAAGTTATAAAAGAGCTCACATTATGCTCATTTATATATATTATTTTATTGTTGGACCCTACCGTAATATATCTACAGGCTTTAATGCTCATGAACACATTATTTGTATGACTTGTTCTTTTGGAAAGACAAGTAGACTGATATCACTCGTTAGTCCTTCTCTCCATCCACCCCCATTCACCACAGCTTGAGCAACTCTGCTCAAAGTCTTTAAAAATACTCTACACTACTAATGGCAAGTGATAATATTGAAATACTTCAGCCATACATGTTAGAATCAGAGTCAGTTATAAGGAATATTGATAGATAGTGTCCCACCCTGCAAGTTGACAGGAGTGGTTCCTAAGGTTTGTTACGTATCAAATCCTGAATGTCTTAATCCATGTGTTTTTTAGCCATGGCGCTGACTGCCTATTATACTCATGATGTGTCTTCCAGCATATAAAAAACACCATATGGCCAATAAACAAGGTACAAAAATACAACTTGATTTTTACCAAAACTAAACAAAAACGAAGCATTTACAAAAGTGTAAAAACAAAAAAATTGACAAGCATTTTTGTCAAAATGGAAGAAACCCTAAAAAAATCCTGGGGGTTAAATGTAACTTGGACTCAAATAGACAACGATAGTGCTTTCATGACTAAACTGGAAGGGCTAAATCTGTGTACCAAAAGCTAAATTTTTTTATTTAGATTTGTTTCTTACATTATCATTTTCATCACTGTGAGCAAACAGGCATAGGGGAAAGACTGCAGGAAGCCACAATGCCCAGCCATGCAATAGTCTGGTACATAACCGATCCTGGACAAAAACGACACAAAAACGCTGCAAGCATTTATACCTCACTAAGTTAACCATCTCCTGACTGTAGCTTCATATTTAATGAACACACATGAAAGGGGTATCAACCTCCTCATCAAACTCTCTGCAAGAAAGCAAAGAGGCATATTCCCAAATGTCAAATGGTTCTTTTAAAGTGCATCATTTAGTTGAAGACTTTAAGACTTCTCTAAGTATGTGCAGATATATGTTCTCCACGGTGTATGAACTGCTTCTAACATCACGCTGTCACATGTCTCATCCAACACATGCATGTAAAAAGCACCCATGCAGAGTACAAAGAATAAAACTTGACGCACACATCTTTGGGCCATACACAGTGGTGAGTGAAACTGAGTGAATGAAATTGCACAAAGTGCTGACGCTCCTCAGAAGACCAGATGAGCACTAGCAGATGTGTAATCTGTAAAGAGCGCAGTTAAACTGTAGCGCCGTTTTGGCAGGACACTTTTAAAATGTATTTGAATTTTGTTTACACAATGTTTATTTGCAGTTAGAGACAAATGCCACTATCTGTCATTTTCTTGTACATTTTAATCCCCAGGAACCTTTGTGTTTTTCCACTGTCCATGAGAGTTTGTCCATCAACAATAAGCACCTTTGATCATTACCACCTATTTGCACATCTGCTTTTAAACTTGTGTTCTTTCCTCTCTGACCTGGGATGTCCTTCTTCATGTTCTTTACGCTGGACATCCGTAAGAGTAGTTAATCCATGAACTGCATTGTTTAGAAGCTCCTAAGATGCTTTGCAGATACATCTGTGTTCTGTTAAAGTGATTGGTCATTTCTCAGATAAAGCAGCTGGACAGTTCCAGGGGGAAGACCCCTGCCATGGTATCTGAGGCGTGGGAGGAGGGGAGGGAGGACCTGGAGGGGGAGGAGGAGGAGGAGGAAGAGATCTCAGCAACATGAGAAAACTCCCAGACACAAACCATAACAGAGGGACAGCCTGGTTACTATGAGGCAGAAATGGGACAGGAGAGGGAGAGACTCATATATTCAAAGAGATTTTTAGGTGACATTAGAAATCACTGTAACTCATTGTTCTAAAACACACCGCTGTGTTGGTTAAATAAAAAAGGTTTCTCTTCAGGGAGGGACAAAAAGGTTTAACAGGATCTGCTGTGAGAAAGTTGAAGAAAACGCTCTGAGGTATATGTACTGCTAAACAGAATCAGTTATGATAATGAAGTAAGACAGCACCCACAAACCATCTAAAATCCATTTGGTTCTACAGCTTCCATGTGGCAGTAGCCCAGGGGCTTGGAACAAACTCCTGGGAGAAATTATTCATACAAATTTACCCCTTAGTACTCACTGAAATATTACCTGTTCAAAGCAGCTCTCTGGCGGCAGATATCACCCCGTGGCCCGCACACATTACAGCAGATGTTTAATGGATTCAGGTGGGGCATTTAAAACGAGCGTGACTGTAATTTCAAGTGCCTGCCATAATCTGTTATGCTTTCCGTGACAACAGAACTACAGCTCAATGAGATGCAGAGCAAGCTACAGGATATCACATCACTACAAACACATTTTAGAATGTGCAGATTTTTATCTCAGATGATAATTCAGTTGCAGATCAACAAACCGAGCAACCAGTAACTTGTCTCATCTTGTCTAATTTGAGTATTGTGTATCAGTGTGATTACAGGAGAAGAGATGTTCAGGAATTTATGCAATACTTCAGCAGAAAAACAGCGCGCCAGCAACTGCAGCAGTAACACTGCACATATAAACATTGTGTCACTGTCCATACACTGAGTGTAGATGCAGAAGAGCTTAAAAAAATTCTTCTTTAGGAGACTGACCTCACCCTCTTGGCACAAATGCTCAGATTAGAAAGACTACCTTTGACCTTGCCCACTGTTGCCATGGTTCCTCAGCCTCCCATGCCCCACAATTCGAACAGAGAGGAGGCAGGCGGGGCTTCGGGCAAGGAAGGAAGATTGGGAGAGCGAACGTGGATGCATAACCACAACAGGTGGTGTTGATTTAAGGGAGTTCTGCCTTTCCATGCGCTGGAACTGAACCCAGTACATGACAAAGGCAGATCAAAGGGAGTTTCACTGTGGTGCGCGAAAATCCTTGTCAAATTCAGCTTCCTCCCATGAGCACTGTTTCTCTCGCTCCGGCGAGCATATTTTCCCTCCGCTCTCACTTCTTCTGAAAAAGAACGGCTCACAGATGCTGCGGCAACAGTACGAACACAAACTGTCATTTCCTTTAACAGCCCTTTGCAGATTTATTATAACAGGGGTTACCAGTGTTCTGCTAATAGTTTGTCTCTCACTCGCCCTCGGTGGACTTGAGAGCCCTCAGAGTGCAGGAAGGGCAGATGTAAAGTGAAGAGAAAGTCACAAAGGATTATGATTCCACCCATGAGAGGAAAATGCGATATTCTACAAATGAGGTTACACACCAGAGCTTGTGGGAGCACATGAACATACACAAACTCTCAAAGGGCATTGCAATGTAGTGTTTGGCTGTGTGCCAGATCTCACCTCCCTGAGGCTCTTATACAATCCACACCATGTCAGATTCAATTGCCAACTGCCAAGTGCATGCACACACACACACGGTGACGCATTAAGACACAAACACACATTACCAAAAACACACAGCTGTGTACTCACATAGAGTCCTGTGTGCCTGTCTCCAAAGAAGGGGAAAGCAACAGAGATCTCCAGGAGACCGGAGCCTCCGTCGTCCTGAGTGATGGTCTGGGTGTCCCCCTTGTCCTGGCCAAAGGGATAGAAGTCCTCCAGGGGCACAGCTGGTTCCACCCTAGGCAGCAGGTTCAGGGAGAGCAGGGTGCAGAAGCAGGGCAGCAGGGCTCGCAGCACCAACACCATGGCCTCAGCCACCCAGGGATGGAGCTGACAGCAGGCACTGCGGAGGGGAGGGAGGAGCACACACACCTGAGGCAACGAGAGCAGAGCAGAACAGGACAAGACCGTACGTTCCTCCTCTCAACCACAGCAGTCTGAATCCTCCCTCGACTGCTCTCTGGTTCTGCCTCAGTCTCTCCTCACTTGTCCTTTAGCAGTGAACTGGGCTTCTTGTGTGAGACAGGGGAATACTGTAGATTCCTTGCATTCTGCTTGCTGCTGGGCACTGCATGAGCTACACTCCGTCTCACTGAAATGAAACGAGGGAAGGAATGAAAGAGGGGGAGCAGCGTGATTCAGCTGAGATGTTTTTTTTTTTTTTTTTTTTTAAACAATCCAGCGATTTGGTCCCTGATGGTCAGCTTAGAAATATCCTCAATAAAAGCTCTATTCTGCTTGCCAAAGGAGTTCTTTCAGCTTTGGCCCCACCTCCCCCCACAGGGATTCACTACCTTGCATAATTAGCTGCTTCCAGCCAATAGCTAAAAGGAGGCTGGTAACTGGATAACCACTGGGCGGATCTATGATAATCAAAGGGCTGCTTTAAAGAAACTCTGACAAGATTTTCCCCTTTCAGTGAAACTCCCACTATGTACAGTTACCAAGGAATTCTATGTTACACGGTGAGGAGACATGCATGTGCACTGTTGTGAAAATAAACTGTGCAGAAAGTGAGGTTGTAAGAAGTGAAAAAAAGAAAGAATGCAAAGGAATTGTTGAGTTTTAAAATACTTACATTTTACACAAGGGATGCAAATGTGACTGAAAACAATCAGCAAAGACAATACAGTTGTGCTTTCTAATCTGCAAAGGGAAGATCACATGTTATGCCAAACTTATAGGGCTGTGGAACTTCTAAAGAATAAGGATCCCTACATATCCTGGAGTCTGCAACTATCTTTGAGAGAAAACACTAAAGACAGCACTGGCAACAGAGAGCGAAGGTCATTCTCTCACCCACAACACTAAATCCACAAAGGCTTTTAATGGTGCGAACCAAATGCTAGAACTCACATGCCATGAAAGGGCAGTGCTGTTCTTCACCAAGCTCACAGAAACATTTTTTCCATAACAAGACTGTGTGGCCAGCAGAATGAGCCACACTGATTATCACATCTCAAAATCTTTTGTAAAACAAAACTGTATGATTCTGCTCAGGAACACTCAGCTTTATTGAAAACAATTGCAACTGTTGCACACACTAATATTGGTTGAGGCAAACAAAACTCATAATAAAAGTGTGAGGCTTAAACAATAATACATCACAGCAACAGGAAAATTGCTCTAAATATTTGGATCAGTATTAATATATAGATATATATCCTCATTAGGATATACAAATGATGATTATGACATACAAAATTGGTACATAATCCATATGAGTATACAAACAATTACAAGAGAAGGAAAAAGTATCAGTCATGGAAGCCTTTAATCACATTGTTTCCTAAAAAAAAAAAAAAAAATGACAGCATAAGCAGTTTTAGAAACAACAACTGTAGCAAGCCAGAGGAAATCCTTAAAACAATTTGGCACATCCAGTTCACTTATAAACAAAACACTCATTGTTTGTTGTTGTTGAGTTTTCCTGCAGATTAATGTAATCCTGTGTGCACGTGTGCAGGGTGGGAGCAAACGCCTTGGGAGTGTTTTTGTGCACGTCCAAAATGTGGATGTAGCTCAAAAACAAAATGTTGTTGGGAAGCTGCCAGAGGAACAGTGAATGAAGAAGGCAGAGGTGCTACATACTTCACTGCAGGATCTCTGTCTACACACCAGGTTGTAGCATCTGATTGAAATAGGCCTGTCGTCTTCTCGTCTCCTGATCAAGCTGTTCTTTGAGAGTCAGAACCTACATATGTGAAAAACAAAGAAGCAAGAAAATGATGCGTTGACAACACAAAAACAAACATAAATCTGCAGTAGAATGGATGGAAGACAGTTTTCCCAGCAAATTACCCACAGCTATAATACCTGTTCCTCCAGACATTTGACCCTCTGGCGATGAGCCTTTTCCCTGGTTTCCAAAGCCTGCTCTGCTTGGAGCAGACTGTCTCTCAGGCGATCTGTCTCCAGAGCCAACTCCTCGTGATGACGGGCTGTGACCTCCAGAAGGCGCTGTACATGAGAGTGCTCCAACTGGGAGAGCTGCACCTGAAGACAGTTCACATAAGTTTACATAAGTGCTGGGTTTCTTAACCTGGGAAAGTCCAACTAAAAAGCACATGTTAGTGTCATTGCACCACTAATTTGCTCCCAGTTCCTTATGTTTTTCTGTTTTTCCTTCTCCCTTTTGTCTCTTGTTTGTATCCATTGTCCTTTCCCCGACTCACCTGAGACTCATCCATTAATCACCTGCTGCAATACCCCAGCTTGTCACTCCACTTCTTGGCAGATTTTCCAGCCTGCTCTTGTGATAGTGTCACTGGCTGATTCTCTTAATAAGTTCTGCTTCCTTGTGTGATTCCTTGTCTAATCAGCAACTTCTTTGTGCATCAGGGCCAAGCACCAGGCTTCCTCCTCTTGCCAAGCCTTTGTCTGCAACTCACCCTGTCTAACACCACATTTCTAAAAATGGCGAGTCAACCCCGTAACAAGCAACGCGCCACACTTAGAGTCACCAGTGTTCTGATGCCAAGTGTCCCACAACAGCCATTCACCAGCCACAGGTTCTCAACTCCTGTTTATTAATAAACTTCCTTAAACTGTGCATTGTCTCCATGTTCTACGCTTGAGTTAAGTCGGTTATTTAACCATAACAGTTAGTGGAAGGCAGGTTTCTTTAGGTTTCTGGTGTAAACAATTACAAAGTTCTCTAAAATGGCCATTGAATAAAGCAAGTGTACTTATTGTGCTTAATGAAGTAAACAGTACAATCAAACAAGCATAGAAAGATCCATATTCAGTAACATTTTTATTGTTATGCTTATTAATTTGAGAAACTAAAACTGATGCAACATTAATATAAATTAGTCTCACATAACCAGACCTACCTTCACGGTGCTGTGTCAGCACTAAAAACCTTCAACTGGTGAGTCCGACTAAAATAAATACACGTAATTGCTATTTAAAAATGCATCTCTGGAGATTTCAAATATATAATGATGTCATGTTTTAATCACTGGCTACCAATAACTGACCCAGCCTCCAAACACCCAAACAATCCCAATCTGATCATGCTGGAACAAGTCTGACCCCTATAGAATCCAAAAGATCTGCTGCCAGTGTCCCTTTTGCCAGACACCGCACGACACTCTCAGAAGCTGTTCTGGCAGCACAAGGGAGAAATAAACATTATTAGCTAGGTGGTTATTTAATGTTGAGGCTGGTTGATGTAATTTATATATCAGGGTCCATTTAATATCATTTATGTCCCCCGCCAAGTGCCAGCCTGACCCCATCCCTAGCTTAGTCTGGCAGCCTCTCACCTGCACAGCCTGCACCACGTCCTGCTTTTCAGCCAGCTCCTGCTCCAGGCTGCCGACTGTCTGCTCCAAATGCTCTCGCTCTCTGGCCACAGATGCTGCCTCCTCCTCCTTTCTCAACCTCTCCATCTCCACCTGACAAACAGCACGAGGGTGACATAATGTGAACGACTTTACCATGATCGCTCTGTACTCATGTGCCTTCCTGTAATGTGTGTAGCAGAGACCGAGCTTAGAGCCTCTCGGTTCTCACAGTCCACCTACATGTTTCCATCACTTGAGGAAAACTTTATACAACGCAGAAACTGAAGAAATAATATTACTAACCTATTGTATAATAAAGCAGCAAATTTATAAAAATCTTCTCCCCCTGCAGTGATTAATGTAACTGCTCGTTTATGTGTCTTAGTGCTTCGGCGGCAGCATGTTTTCACTCAGTCCAGCATGTGGTAGCGAGGCTTCTGACCAGCACTAAACTCATATTACTTCAGGCCTGGCTACTTTCGTACAAAGGCTTCCAGCAGTTGTAGAATTGACTTTAAGATGCTTTAATTATATTTAAAGCCAATTGCGGTTTGGCTCCCTCATTTATTTCAGATCTTTTACCTCATATTCAACACAAAGATTTTAATGTTTTGGGGTCCAGGTTTAAAAAAAAAAAAAAAAGTGGAGGTAGATGATGCCTTTACTGTTATTTTTTTTTTTTTTAGCTTTTGGCCACTATGAAACTGTTTAATATTGTTAGTATCAGAGCAAATGACTCAGAGCAATAAAAAGCTGGTTACTCTTATTTGTATGGTGATTTCTCACAGCTGCATCAACTTTTTTCATCCATGTCTGCTAAATCTGCCAGCCAGAGAAATTTCAATCTACTGCAGAAAATAAATGGAGATTCTCCTTATCTAAATATTTTATAGTGATTAATGTGATTTTGTAAGTGCTTTTTAGATAAGCACTACATCATAAAGCTTGTTCTATTGTTTCCCAGAATTATTTTTGAGAAGTCAATGTAAATAATATCTAAAGGCATTATTTCTCAAGTCAAATCTATTTATAAAAGACATTAAAGAAAAAAAAAAGCTGACCTAGAGCATTGTGCAAGTTGACATGTAAAGTATGTAAAACTGTGCCAGAGATTAGAAGCAGCCACTGTGAAGGCTCAGTCAAGTCTATTTTTGTGCTCAGATCCTTAAACATTTAAGAGCATCTGGTTGGTCAACTTCAGTGCTCTCTCCCTTGTATGATGAGGCAAGAGCTGTGCTATAGAACAACCCATTTAAAACCTTAAAAACGAACAATAAAATCCAAAAATCAATCCAGAAATGGACAGGAAGAGAATGGAGGAGACCGCTATTGGTACAATGTCATCATACTTTCTATTTGCTTTTAGAAGATGATTACTTTATATACACAAATCTAGCACAATGGTAATAAAGGCACAAAAAAAACTCTACGTCTTTGGTAGATACATAGGCCTTTACCTCAATTGAAAAAGGCCAGTTTTGACCAGTCGTCAGATCTGTTAAATTTGAAGGACCTGTTGAAGATCACTCTAAGGTTTTTCTCAAAAGTGTAGACTTTTCTCTCTTTTCACAGACATGTTACATAAGTATATGATCTCCTTGAAAAAAAGACTTTGAAGAAGAGCTGTAAAATTGCGTCGTGTTGAGCTAATCTGAAACAATGTAGGTGAAGATATAGTTTGAATTCTTGAGAGAAATTTTAGTTGCTCACACTCTTAAAAATCTTTGTACTAAGCTAACCAGCTGCTGGCAGCTTTATATTCCCTGTACATACATGACAGTTATGCGGTTTACCTTGGAAATAAAGCT